GACCCCAGCTGCTAGGTGGGTCATATGCCTGTACAGCATTCTAGTTCCCTTCTGAGTGCCTCTGACCACCCAGAAATCCGGGGCAGTTGCAGACACTGAGCTCATTGTAGGGATGGACTGGGCTGCCTCAGGAGCCTGGTCATGAGCAGGTAGGCGCTCAGGCAGAGGCTGGGCACTCGCCTGGGAGACAGGAAACAGGACTCTGTGCCAATCCAGAGTCGGGCCGGCAACACTGATCTTTTCTGGCTCAGAATCTATGATTTCCTGCTACTTAGCCCTGCCCAAACTGAGCTTTTTCCTCAAGCAAGGCTGGAACTCACTTTTTTTTTAGCTTTTTAAAAAGTAAAATATATATAATATAAAATTTGCCATTTAACCATCTTAAGTGTATAATTCGGTAGCATTAATTACATTCACAATGCTATGAAACTACACTATATTTAAAAAACTTTTCATCACCCCATTAAGCAATAACTTCTCATTCCCTTCATTAGGCAATAACTTCTCATCCCCTCCTCCCCACAGTTCCTGGCAATCTGTTCTACTTTCTGCCTCTATGTCAGAACTTCATATGACTGAACACTGTTTATGACTGAACACTATTCTGTTGAATGGATATACCCACACTTTGTTTATCCATTCTTCTGTTAATTCAACTTCATTTTGACATCTATATATTTTTTTATTTTATTTATTTATTTTTAGAGAGAGGGGAAGGGAGAAAGAGAGGGAGAGAAACATCAATGTGTGGTTGCCTCTCACCTGGCCCCACTGGGGACCTGGCCCGCAACCCAGATATGTGCCTTGACTGGAAATCGAACAGGTGACCCTTTGATTTGCGGCCGTGCTCAATCCACTGAGCTACGCCAGCCAGGGCTCATTTTGACACCTATATTATAGGAGAAAAAAGAAGAAAGGTTTGGGTACAAGAGCTTCAGTTGTACTAACTGAATAACTGGAAGGCTGGAGAAGACAAAAACCTAAATGTATGGCCTTCGCCTAACTAAATGTTAAGTCCTTACCTGGGACTTAAAGAAGATCTTATTAATGGTGGTAACTCAAGTGTCACTGGATTTTTCCCTTACCTGCGTACACAGGACGTAAATACCTTATGAAAGTACCCCAACCTCCTCCTTCCCCTCCCCACATGCATTTTGGGGGAAATCCCCATAAAGAGTAGGGTCTCAAATAGCCTCAAATTAACAACATCTGCTCTGCTTTCCACTGACTGGCTAGACACAGCAGTCTGCCGCCTGGCATCTTCTGGGTGTTACTTTATTGAATAGCACCGTCTCCTTCTAAAAGCCTGCAGTCCCCAGCTGTCGTCCACTGTGTGCTGCCTGTCCTGAAGGCACCCACTGGGAGCCCTCATTTCCTGCTGTAACTGAAGCTCTGGACTTCACATGATTCCAAAGCTGCACATTGTTCTTTTGGCACGATGAACTCGTCCTTTCCCCGTTGAGTTACCCTTTGTTAAAGTGACAGAGCAGCGCTGCCTATGGAGGGTAGGAGGGACCCAAATCCCACCCTCCACCTTGTTTTATCTGCCCAGCGCCTTGTTTCCACCAGCGGCATCACCCAGCTCCCCCTTAACTGTTAAGGAGTAGTTACCGTTACACAGTCCTAAAATTACATTCATCAACTGTGACAGCAACTGTGAGGCTGATGTGGCCTCCGTGAAAATGAGTAGACACCCCTGTGTTACAGGTATTTTAGTCAAACAATGGAAAATGCCCCTCGTCCCCAACGGTGCTCAAGTTCATGCAGGACTCCTCCGTCCTGCATGACTGTGTCCTCCCAGAGGCTCTTCAATCTCTCAGCAAATTGGCTTCAGATATGCCCACACATGTCTGAATTGCAGATTAAGTGCCAACTGGGACTCCTATCACATAAAAATTCTAAGTGTATGTGATGGAACTCCAAAATTAACATCTACCAGTAACATGATACCTTTGGGGAAAACATTATTAATCAGTACCTGCTGTGTTCCCACACATCCTGTTCCCTCTTCACAGGAGGGAACTTCTTTTTGGAAATTCATTTTCTTAATAGGTTTCAACCATCAGAAGGCTCTCTCTGAGTTTCCCAAACCTGTAAGCTAAATATTAGGAGGTTTATTTCCTCCAGAATTTAAAAAAAAAAAAAAAAAAAAAATTGTGATATTTGATTTCTCACCACTAGAGGGAGGTATTCCTTTTCCTGATTCCTTTAAATATTGCCCTGGAATCCACTGACGGGGTTGTGTGTGTGTGTGTGTGTGTGTGTGTGTGTGTGTGTGTGCGTGCGCAAAAGAGGACACTTTCAGACCCAAATTTGACCTTCCCCCTTACTCTTTTTTGGTCTAACAACTATTGATTGTCAGTCTTTGACCTCTTAAAGCTCAATACTTTTCCTCCTTCATGACTTTGATCTAACAATGGAAAGAACCGCATTACCTGGGTCTCAAAGGCCCAGACGCTGTCACAGACCAAAGAGTGGGCAGCACACTCCAGATCTCTGCTTCCTGAGGCATTGTGTGGCAGGGGTGGTGCCCGAAAGTCAGCTGATGGCAGAAATGTTTCTCCCATGGTCAATCAACAGATGTATATGTGAAAATGGATAAGCAGGATAGTCACTTTCTAAATAATTATAATTTCTCCTACAGAAATAAATGAGAAATGGCCCTGGCTGGTGTGGCTCAGTGGATTGAGTGCCCGCCCACAAACCAAAAGGTCACCAGTTTGATTTCCAGTCAAAGCACATGCCTGGCTTGCAGGCCAGGTCCCCAGTAGGGGGCATGAGAGAGGCACACTGATGTTTCTCTCCCTCTCTTTCTCCCTTCCTTCTCCTCTCTCTAAAAGCAAATAAATAAAACTTGTATAAATAAATAAATAAGAAATGGCAATTTTGGAGAGAAACCTTCTGTAATTTCACAATTACCTAAGAGTAACTTCTTCCATGATTTAGAGAGATAATTTTCAACAAGAATCTAAATGTAATAGAATAGCTCAGAGAAAGATTATACAACTAAAAACATTTAATGATGGATCTAGCCTTTGCTGGAAATTATATTAATCTCATTAGCTTCCTATGATGGTAGTCTGTACATAATTTGAGGAAACATATCCTTTAGCTTTCTTTTAGAAACTGCCTATATAGACTGCCTTCTAGCAGAGGTTTTCCTAAAGTTTAGATAAAATTTTCCTTGAAATTTCTTGCCCTGTGGAAAGTCCAATTTCCTAACACTCCTGTAAATTCCTGCAGATTTCAAATTTCAAGGCCACTCTGGCTCTGCCTTCCTGAAATTCTTGGCCCCTGTCCCTGCCGCACTGTGGCTGTCCCCTTACTGATGTCCTGTCATTGACCCAAACATACAGTTCGGCACCTTTCCTCGATTTCTGACACAGCAAGAACACTCATCCAAAGCCAGAGTGAATGTCAAGAGACTCAACTAAAGCTTTAGGAACTCAGAAGAGCCTTACACTTTGAACAACTTAAATCACATATTAGACATCTTTTCTGTCCCAAGAATTTTGTCAGCCACTAAATTATTCAGCCGTACTGTTTCTCTTCCTCTTCCTTCTTCTCTTTTTGTGTTCATTCCCTCATTCCCAAATCCCTGTATAATTCCCTGTATTTTTATTTCTATCACCTGCTGTACATGCCCCTTGGGGTCTTCTACTCCAAATATTTCTTCCAGATATTTTTGTACACAAAACCTAAGAGGAATCAGTTGTAAAGATACCATATTCTCACTGGCACATACTTGTACCACATGGGGATCAGAGCTGTTCTTTCTGGCCAGGCAGTCTCAGACACCAGCCTGACTTCCAGAGGTGGTAGCTGGTGTGCTGGCTGTGATGTTCCTGGTAGCCTGTACTGCAAGGAAACTGGAGAAGAGGCAGCATCCTGTGTTGGACCAAATGCAGAAAATGGGGTGGGGTGGGGTGTGCAGATACATCTTCATAGGATATTTTGATATCAACTAATGCGGAGGATACCAGCCAGCAGTGTCCATCTTGGCTGTGAATGTTCATCAACATGCGAGAAAAACATACACAGAGACAACCAGGTCCTGTGGGGGGATAGGAACAGCAGGGCTACTCCTCACGTGGGGAGTGCCTTGGCCACCCTCTCTCCTAGAGGGCGCCGCTTGGCCATTCCTCACGTGGGGAGCGCGCCTTGTTCCCCCTCCAGAGAGGCTTTTTATTGGTTTTGTTTGCATAAGAATTCAGGTGAAAGCTCATTACTCATTGCTAGGAAGTAAAGATCAAACAATAGATAACAAGGAAGTCTGAGGGCCTATTTTGACTCAGGGTCAAAGAGCTGTAAAACTTTAAAGAACAAACTTACTTCTTCCCTGGACCCCTCTCATTCAACTGAGAGCATTCTAAACAAAGCAGGTTTCACAGGATCTTACATATTCTTCCTTAGGCCTGATCACCCGGGGAACCCGCCCTTTTCAGCACAGAGCTGCACCACCCTGTCATTGTTTCAGGCTTAGGTGGAGCAAGGGAACTAAGGCAACCAAGGGATAAGGAGATTTTCTCCCAGACGATGAGGACTCAGGCTATATCACAGCTGAGGAGCGAGGGTCCATCACCCCCTTTTGCTGTAGCCCCCAAAATCCTTTCTTGGGGGCCTCTCACGTGATCGTGCCTGTCTTAGGTCGTTCCCCCCTTGGAGAATCTTACCTGTCATTGGCTAACTGACCAAGCATTGGGGTTCAGTTATGAATGAGGCAGCAAAAGCAGCGCTCCTGCCAGGGAGATAAGCTTTTGTCTCCTTGCTGGCTTATGGTCCAAGGCCACTCCCTCAGCCTTAGCCTAGGTGGGGGTTACAGCTTCTGATACCAGGCAGGACAGTTCCCAACAGACTAATATTAATTGAACATCTATTCTAGAAATTTCTTCAGGAGAAGCATGCAAAAAAAGAAAAGAAAATCTCGTACATGATCCTGTGGCTGTACCACAGATCGACACTCCTAGAATATTAACAAAGTCTAATTTATGCTCACCCAGGCTGAATGGAGAGAAGAAGTAAAGAAACACTTTGAGAAGATCAAAAGTGAAGGAACTTGCATACACCGATTAGATGAAGAACTGATCAGAAGGCGCAGAGAAGAGCTCAGGTCAGCTGATCTCTCCCCACCTCCCCGCATGCCCAGGTCCTCAGGTATTAGCAGGAGCTGTCTTTGTGAATCACCATCTCACTTCCCACACCCCTTTCACTGTGCCGTTCATTATTCTTCTCTTTAAAATTTTCCCTGAAATTTAGCCCTCTTTTATATTACTGTCTTACCCTCTCCCCCCAACTCTATTATTCTCCTTTATTATATCTCTGCAATGGAGATTCCCGGAGCAATGCTATTTGTTCATTCGGCCCCTGTCCGAGGTGACACAGATGGCCAGAAGTTGGTAAGATGTAGTCCCCAGTCTCAAGATGCTTTTAATCCCTTGAGGGACACAGATGTGTCCATAGATAAGCACTGTGATCACGCAGGACCTGTGCTGTGCATCAGGATAAAGGAGTGATCGTGACGTCAGCTCTAACCACATATTTACGTTAACAGCGAGTTATCCTGTGCTCTTCTTAAGGCATTGCCAACACCACACAAAGGCTACAAATTACACTCAAATCATAGTCACATTTTATTCGTGGCCCTCCTGGCTATTCTGTATGGCTGGATATGGCCTTGAAGGATAAACCAGATGGAAAGCTTACATTTTCCATCTCCCACTCCAGCTTAGCTGAGTCATTTCATCAGACGAGGGAGCCTTTAACCTAGAGGGCCCTTGGGCAAATGCTTTTGAGATAAGCCATCCCAGTTCTCATTTTGTGAGAGCTGACTTTAGTCGATTTTGCTGATCCTGTGTTTTCTTTGCTAGGCATGCTTTGGATATTCGCGAACACTATGAGAGAAAACTTGAGCGGGCTAATAATTTATACATGGAGCTGAGCGCCATCATGCTGCAGCTGGAAATGCGGGAGAAGGAGCTCATCAAGTACGTGTCCAGACCAGCGTCTGCCCGTGTTGATTTAGTCTCTCCGTCAGCAGAAACGTGCTGCTCTTCCATGTTGCTGCTGCTCAGAACTGGCCAATGTTTTATTCACTCACCCAACAATTTCCTCCGGGGATGTGCTCAGCACACATCCCTGCCCCTGGGGAGGTTCACGGTTGAGGGGAGTTGGCACGGAGCTGGTTCTAGGGGAATATCACTTGAAAGATATTTGCAGCTTCACCCTGCTGAATGGCTCAGAGGAGGGGTCCTCATTTCATGAACAGCTTGATGTAGATGCATGGGGGCTAATTCCCCCTGGGGAAGTGAGGTGGCTTCTGCAAGTGGTTTAAGGTATTCCTGAGAATGGCAAGAAAATTGCAGGGACTTGACCAAAACAGCAGCTACTGAAATAAGTAGGACTCCCACCGCTGCATCATGCCACTCGTGTGGTGTGTTGGGGAAGGGGAGTCCATCTCTGAGTGCATCTGTGAGCTTCAGGGGGAAATGCAGTGAGGTTAGTTTGAATTCAGTATCTTTTTTCCCCTTTTTAACCTGGATGGCAGGCAGCTTTGTTATTCAAATAGCCTGCATCTGGTAAGTGTGGCCAGAGTCTGTGGGTGGAATCAGCCTGTGAAACAGTCTGCCCATCTTCTCTGAATGCGGTGACTGAGATGGCCCTTTCCTCTCACTCCGCAGGCGCGAGCAAGCAGTGGAAAAGAAGTATCCTGGGACCTACAAACGGCACCCTGTCCGTCCAATAATCCACCCCAATGCCATGGAGAAGCTCATGAAAAGGAAAGGAGCGCCTCACAAACCCGGGGTGCAGACCAAACGGTGAGACACTTGTGCCGACCTGATACTCCGATAAATGGGAGAAACACCCCCCTAAAAATGCGTCATCAGATGACGGTGGGTGTGGCTACTCTACCGTATCACGAGCACACTTGCCTCTGGGTGAAACAGAGTGGGAAGGTGGGAGAAAGTGTGTCATGGACCCCGGGAATCCCTGTTTTGCTGTCTGAGGCATAGACATTTATTACCTTAGCATGGACTGGAGAGAAGAGAAGTGAACTAGGAGCCAGCAGACCTGGGTTTGAGTCCTGGCTCTGCTGGTGACAAGCTGTGTGATTTGGATTCTGTCACTTGCCCTCTCTCCACCCCATGAGTAAATGGCATAAATATAGCACATGAGCTTTCTATTTTCTTTTTTTAACCCCTAATGCACAGAACTGGGTTAATTATAATTCTTGATCTATGCAACATTGGTCCACGCGTGACCTACTTTTATTTATTCATTTAGCTCTTCGTAATAATGTGCCTATAAATCTACCACCAAAAATGAAAGCAGAGACTATGGAGTTGTTTTTTTTTGGTTTTCTGTTTTCTTTCTGCTTCGCAAAGTTGCATGTCATCCTTGTGCAGGAGCCGTGCTCATCTCTGTGCTATTCCAACTTTAGCGTATGTGCTGCCGAAGTGAGCACCAAAGCCAGGACCTTGACAATGACCTATATATGTGGTTCCCCTCATTCCACTCTTGCATGGGACGCTTGTGAGGTTTAAATAAGACAGTATGTGAAATCACATAATAAATGCTCAAGAAGTGGGGGTTTTGAATGTTTTTTTTTAATTATAACACATTTTCCTTACACAGTTGCCCCTTGAACAACATGGAGATTAAGGGTGCCGACCACCTGCTCAGTGGGAAATCCATGTGTAAGCTAATTCAGCCCACTGCGAACTCAGATTCTCCGCCACAGATCTAAAACACTGTAGTAGTTTAACCTTAAATGCTCTTCCCATCATTGCCAAGTTCTACTAGAGCCTCATTCCTCTCCAATAATGGACAGTTGACTCTCTCTTAGTTAAATTAATGTAAAGGAAAGAAGTGCCCTTACATCAGAAGTCCAGTGACCTCTGGGGAGATCAGAGAAGAGAAGAGAAACCATCCTCCATCCCCTAGCCTATACTGCGGTGTGTGTTTGGTTAAGTACTAGGAAGAAAAGAGTCAGAGTTCAATTTGGGCCCACCAAACCTGTCACAACTGAATAGAGGCCAGCAAGATGGTCTAAATACCCCATAAGAAGGAGAAGCTTGGAACAGGGAAAGAACTATTCCTTGGTGTCTTAAGACTCAGGGTCAGTTTATGAGTTCTGCCCTTTACTTGCTTTGTGGTGAACACAAGACAACCAACCTCTCTGATCCTTTGACGCCTTTCTCTGTAAAATGGATATTGTGTAGTAGGACAGAAGTGGTTTGTATACTGCATAGTATAGGGGTGTCAAACTCATTTTCACCGGGGACCACATCAGCCTCGTGGTTGCCTTCAAAGGGCCGAATGTAATTTTAGGACTGTATAAACGTGACTACTTCCTAACAGCTAAGTGAGAGCTCGGTGCTGCCACTGAGTAGAAACAAGGTGCCGGGCTGGATAAAACAAGGTGGAGGGCCAGATTCAGCCTGTGGGCCTTGTGTTTGCCACCTGTGATTTAGGAGCACAGAACAATGTGGGGTAGCTCCTCCTGAGACCTTCTCTTGCTGGCTCTGCTCCCCGCCTGGGCTCTCTACTATTTTCCTGCTCTCCAGCCCCACCCCATGTCTCCCCATTCCTGAAACACTGAGTCCCCATTATGATCAAGACTCCTTGTTAGTGTCCTTCACGTACGAAGATGGTCCCAGCCCTCAGGAAGACTACGTCTACCCTGAACTCTTTCCTTTGTGATGCCTTGAATCCAGTTCCATCATCAGACAGACTTCTGGCCACACTGGCTTACTGGCACCAAGCTGAGGGCTGATACTATGAGGAACAGATCAAGAAACCTGTAGGGCAGAATTAGAATTTCAAGGGGACTCAGTGCCGTGGCCAGTGAGGCACAGAATAAAACCCAGAAGGCATAAAGGGAATCTCTATCAGTGGACTTCTAGGTTGTTTACATTTCTGCTATTTTAAGCAACAGTGTCTTCAAACATAGATTTGTGTGGGCATCCATTATCTCTATTGGATAAATCCCTGTATGTGACCACAGATTGAAATGGTGTGTGTATTTTAAGGCTTGTGATATAGTTTCCCAAATGTTAATATGTTTTTGTATGTTTAAAACATATTAACCTATACCTATATATACCTATACCTAAACCTATATGTTCTCCCAGGCCAGATCTGTTGCGATCTGAAGGTATCCCCAGCATGGAGGTGGCTCCCACTGCATCCCCTCTCTCTGGAAGCCCCAAAACGTCCACCTCAAGCAGCAAGAGCCGATACCGGAGCAAACCACGCCACCGCCGAGGGAATAGCAGAGGCAGCCATAATGACTTTGCAGCAATCTTGAAAAACCAGCCAGCCCAGGAAAACTCCCCCCACCCCATTCATCTGCACCAAGCTGAATCCCAACCCCCTTCTCTGCAGCAGCAATACCAGCAACCCCCTCCTGCCACGTCTCAGAGCCACCATCCCAGGCTCAATACGCATGGACAGGACATCGCGACCTGCGCCAACAACCTGAGGTATTTTGGCCCCGCGGCAGCCCTGCGGAGCCCCCTCAGCAACCATGCTCAAAGACAGATGCCCGGCTCTAGCCCTGACCTCATCTCTACCGCCATGGCCACAGATTGCTGGAGAAGCTCTGAGCCGGACAAGGGCCAGGCTGGTCCCTGGGGCTGTTGTCAGGCTGATCCTTACGACCCCTGTGCACAGTGCAGACCGGAGCAGTGTGGGTCCTCGGATGTTGTTCCCTTTGCTGAGCCAGCGGGGAGGAGCCCCGACCTTTTCAAGTCACCAGCACACAATCTGCTCTCAGAACATGCCCAAGGTTCTGAGAAAATGGAAGAAAACGAATTCAATGGCTGTAGGTCTGCTTCATCCCTTGGCGTCCCTCACCATGTCACCCCGCCAGTGCTACCTCGAAAAGCAAGGCCCCTTCAAAAGGTAGGCGGGAATGGCAGCTGTGTGCATCACCGCCTGCGCGGGGTGTCAGAGCCTGTCGTGTGATGCGCTCTATCAAACACACATAGGGAGTGCACAGTTTGTAAAAGGATGAGCTCACAGAAACTTAAACAGAAGCTTCTTTTATTTCAAATACTTTCTTTTCACACTGCTTAAGTGATGGACTTCTGAATACACTTTGAGAACTACTGAACCAATGGACTGATTGACATGTACATAATTTATAAGTCGATAAATAACCACATATTAGGAATATGTAATCCAAATAGTTTGAAAACCACTACTCTGACCTAGTCCTGGGGGATGTTACAAGAAGAAAGGATCCCATCATAAAACAGGTTTGGTTGACACAGTATTCTCTGTCCCTTCTGGGAGGTCCTCGTGCACATTAACAAATGCTCCACTTTGAGGAATCATGTAGTAACCTTGTTTAATCCAGCAGTTCCCTCACCTATTTGACCGTACTGCCTTTTAAAGCTATCTATCAACCTTCCACGGAATTAACTTTTTTCACAATGTATTTTGGAAAACAGTGTCGTAATTAATAACCATCAGGAGTTAGTAAGTTCTCAGTCACTGAAACCTATTTCTCGCCTGCTTGCGCACCGGCTGCCTGGGGCCTCTGAGCTGCAGGGCGGTCTTCCACCGTGGTTACGAGCACCTGCTCGGGAGTCAGGCAGACCTGAGTTCGAAGCTTAGTTCAAAGGCTTTTCCACTCAGTACTTCTATAAACGTTGGTGTCCTCGTCTCTAAAACGGGGCTAATAACAGTGGGTCCCACCTCTCTGGTAGATGTGAGGATTAAATGAGTTAATACACACAAAGTACTTAGAACTGGGCCTGGCACATAGCAAACTTCTAAAAAACGTGAGCTCATCTTGCTAATGAGTTAAAAATAAGATTGTGTATGAAAAGAATTTAGCACACGGTAGATATCCACTCAGTTCTAAGTAAGTGTTGCTTCGTACCATCACCATTATTCAGCAGGCATTTATTTGAAAGAATGAAAGGGTTTAAAATGTAATTGAGGATGTTTCGGCCAACTAGATGTTGAACAGAAAAGACGCTGAAGCTGAGGGCTGCTGTCTGGGGACTGCATTTCGTCCGCCACACGCAGTGCCGCTGATGGCTGGGCAGTCCCGGAAATCAGGCTGCGTTCCGGGCAGCGCAGTGGATTTGGGCTAATCCAGTCTCTGCTCCCCACACCCATGTGTGGGGTTTTTTTGGTAACAACGTCACTGAGATGTAATTCACACACCAAATAGTTCTTCCATTAAATTATACAACTCAGTTCTTTTTATTCAGACTTGTACAACCTTTACCATAACCAATTTCAGAGGATTTTTGTCACCCCAGAAAGAAACCCTGCACCCTTTAGCAATTGCCCATTCCCTGGTCCCCTCCCAAGTAACGTGTATCTTTTAACCATTCTGATTCCATTCTGATGCCACCTGTGGGCCTGCAGGCCTCAGAGCACACACCTTCTGCATTTGGTCTCCTTGGAACCGTCCTCCCGGAAAGCAGGCCCCCTTCTGTCCACTGACCTGTGCTCCCGCGTGTGCTCCTGGGGCAAGGGGCTAGTCTCAGCAGTCAGGCTAACTCCATCCCTGTCTTTCCTACTTGAAAGCATGTCAGAATACGAAGTGGGTAAGAGTGAAGGTATTTTAGAACTGACTTTCAAAGGAAATTGTCCTCAGTCTTTGCTACAGTTACTTGGACCCAATCACCCACCTCACAAGGGATTGTAACAATCCAGTGCGTCGTGACGCTGTAGTTAAGGACAGTGGGTCCTAATATGGCTGTTCCCGGGCACCTGAAGAGAAATGGAATCTTCCCTGTGAAGGAAGGTCATCTGCTCAGCCAGGACACTTACCCAGCCTTCCAGATCAACCAGAGCCCCAGCAATCACGACGCCTCGGACATCCCTTACCCCGCCGACAAGCTGACTCAGTAATGCACTAAACGCCCACTTTGTATGCAGCAGCGTATTAGTGGTGGGGTGAAGCATTCAATAAAGCAAGATACAGGCTGACTCTCAAACGATGTATGTCTTAATAGTGGAGATGGTACGAGTATAATAACTCTATCGGTGAAAAAGTGATTGGTACATAAAAGGGCTTTGAACAATTGAAAGATCAGTTCTTGGTGGAGTTTCTATGACGAAGCCTGGAACCCCTAGTAACAATGGTTACCTGAGACTGCCCCAGTGTCCAGGACCTCTTCTCCTGCGTCCCCTCCCGGTCACTCACCTCCCTGAGGGCAGAGATGATGTTTGTTTCAGTTCTGCATGTCTTCCATCATCAAGTGCCGGGCCTGTCATCAAGGACACCCAGGGAAAGTTGCTGAAAGAACGAGTGAAGATACATATGTTTAAAGATGGCACTCAGCAAGCCACTGCTCAATGCCTTTTGATGATTACATCTTTGCAAGGACTGTGTGTGTATGTGTGTGTGTGAGAGAGAGAGAGAGAGAGAAATGAAACCCTTTTCTCCTGTTTTCCTTAGAGTGGAGATGAGTCCTCAGAAGAGGAAGAAGGAGAAGTGGACAGTGAAGTTGAATTTCCACGAAGACAGAGGTACAACCATCAAACACACGTGATTGCTTTCAGTGTAATTGGGGAAACCCAGTTTGCTGCACTTCCTGTTAACTTGCACGTCACTTTCTAACAGCCATCTTGTAAGGAAACTTGAACTCACCATGTTTATGGTCTCCCATTGCCACATTTGACAACTGGCTATGCACAGCCAGGCCCATTTTATCAGAATTCACTCCATGGGAATTTCAAGAGGAGCATAAATACAGATTCATGTTACAACTGAGACTACAGTGGACAGTTTATGACAGATGGCCATGTGTTTTATGGATAATTTTATTGGTTTCTAGTATGCCTCTCTGAATTAATTTGCTCAGGCTGCCATAACAAAACACCATAGACTAGGTGGCCTAAACAATGCAAGTTTATTTCTCACAGTTCTGGAGGCTGGGAAGTCCAAGATCAAGGTTCTTGGTGAGAACTCTCCTCCTGGCTTGCAGACAACAGTCTTCTTAATGTGTCCTCACATGTTTGGGGGGTGAGGGGAGCAGATAAGGAGGAAACAAAGAGATATCTTCTTCTTTTTTTAAATTATATTTTATTGATCACGCATTACAATTGTCCTGATTTTTCCCCCTTTGTCCCCTCTTCCCAGAGCCCCCTACTCCCTCAGGCAATCCCCACACCTTGTTCATGTCCATTGGTCACCAGTATGAGTTCTTTGGCTACTCCATTTCCTATACTGAACTTTACATCCCCATGGCTATTCTGTATCTACTGATTTGTGCTTCTTAATCCCCTCACCTCTTCACCCATTCTTCCCACATGCCCCCACCATCTGTCAGCCATCTGGTCACTAACGTCTTTTCTTGCTGCTTTTAAGAGTCTCTCTTTATCTTTAACCTCTGGCCTTTTAATTATGGTGTGTCTTGGAGTGGCCTTCTTTGCAACTGTCATAGTTAGGACTCTGTGTTTCCCGGACTTACATGTCTGTTTCTTTTGCCAAATTACAGAAGTTTTCTTTCACTATTTTTTTCAGATAGATTTTCAATTTCTTGCTCTTCCTCTTCTCCTTCTGGCACCCCTATGACATGACTGTTGGATCTCTTGAAGTTGTCCCGGGGCTGTTTATACTATCCTCATTTTCGGCGTTTCTTTTTTCTTCTTGTTCTGATTGGCTGTTTTTTGCTTCCTTATGTTTCTAATCATTAATTTGATTCCAGCTTCATCCACTCTACTATTGTTTCCCTGTAAATTGTTCTTTATTTCAATTAGTGTATCCTTCCGTTCTGACTGGGTCTTTTTTATGTTGTTGAGGTTCTCACTAAATTCCTTGAGCATCCTTATAACCAGTGTTTTAAACTCTGCAGCTGATAGATTGCTTATCTCCATTTCCTTTAGCTCTTTTTCTGGAGTTTTGATCTGTTCTTTCATTTGGGCCATATTTCTCTGTCTCCTCATTTTGGCAGCCTCCCTGTGTTTTTTTCTATGTATTAGGTAGAGCTGCTTTGACTCCATGTCTTGGTAGTGTGGCCTAATGTAGTAGGTGTCCTCTAGGGTCCAGTGGCACAGCCTCCACTATCACCCAAGCTGGTTACTCTCAAGTTGTGCCCTTTGTGTGGGCTGAGTACACCTTCCTCTTGTAGTTGAGCCTTAGTTGCTGTTGGCAGGCAGTAGGAGGGATTTACCCAAGCCAGTCAGCTGCAAAGACTGGCTGTGACCACTTACCTCTAACCTCTGCCCTCTGTGGAGGATCAGCTGTGTGGGGGCAGGGTGGTGGTGCTCTGACGTGGTCTGTAGCAGCCCATTGAGTGTGCTGGCCCTGAAATTTCCTGGTTGTTGGAGGTCAAATTCAACCCCCACGTTTGTTTTGCCTGGGGCACCATGCCTGAGCTTAAAGCAATTTGAGATGGCTGCTACTTGTGCTGGGCTTGGAGATTCCCATGCGAAGCCAAGCTGTGAATCTATCTGGCTGCTGCTAGGACTCACCAAAGCCAGGTGTTGCTTGTTTGATAGGATTTAGGAGCCAAAACCAGCCATTCTTATGGAAAAGCAGCTTGTGTGGGACCATAAGTTGGGTGGAGCAGAACCTCTGGGGATCTCCAAGGTAGGTCACACCGTGTTAGCCAGGTTAATGGCGTCTCAGATATGGCACCATCTTACCAGCTCTGTGTTGGGAGGGTTTAGCAAAGGGACAGTGGCTTTTGCTCACCTTGATGCCAGACATTTTGGTTTCTCCCTGTAGACTACTGGTGCCTTTTAAGCTGCTACTCCAGTGCTGGAGCTCAGAGGGAGTGAGTCTGAGTAGGTCAGTCCATGTGCTGGCTCTTTAAGAGGAACTACTTGGAGCTTTAGCAGTTTCTTCCACCGACTCAATCCCCGCTGGTTTTTGCAGCCAGAAGTTATGGGGACTTATCTTCCTGCCACTGGAACCCTGGGCTGGGGGCCCTGGTATGGGGCTGGGACTCCTTGCTCCTGAGATACCCCTCCTGAATTTTTATCCATGTGGGTGTGGGACCAGCCCGTTCTGTGTCTGTGCCCCTCCTATCAGTCTGGGTGGATGTGGTTTCTTTCATTCTGTAGTTGTCAGACTTCCATTAAGCTTGATTTGTGATGGTCCTGAGTCATGGTCATTCTATATTTTCGTTGTAATTTTAACGTGGTTATGCGAAGAGGCGAGACATGTCTGTCTATGCCTCCATCTTCTTTTCTTATCCCTCTTCTTTTTTATAAGACCAGATCCTATAGGATTAGGGCCCCACCTATGTAATCTCAACCTTAATTACCTCCTAAAGACCCTATCTCCAGATTTAGTCACATTGGAGCCTAGGGCTTCAACATAAGAACTGGGGAGGGGTACACAGGTCAGTCCCTGGCACTCTCCACACCTTGGACTTTATACCTCAAATTAATTAGATGAGTCGAGTCCCCCTTCAGCTAGCCTTAGAAGGAGCTTCCTAGTTAATCAGCAATAATAATTTTCTTGTAGGATTAAAGAGCTAATCCTATGTAGGAGCAGGGAAGGTAGTTTTCCTCCCAAGAGGCCTTTTCTGCTAATAAGCATTTCGTTCTTTACGAGTAGAGCTCCAGGAAGGTTTGTATGCCTGCCTGGAAACAGGAAATCCCTACAAACCAAGGGACTCCTAGTTCTCTGGTAAACTACTCTGGGTCCCCACACAATGTGCAAAATCACAATCTGTTCTCATCTCCTGAGCCACTCCTGCCATGAAGCTCTTGCTGTCGTATTGTCTCCTTGGACACTGTTCTCCTGTGCATCCGGATTGAGCCTGAGTAAAATGAACTCGTTCTACTGGCATCACAATGATGTTACTTCCAGCTTTTGTTCCTACGACACACGATGAACTCAGCCCACCTACTGGCTTCCCACCTTTCTTTATTGGCTAGTATGCAAATTATATGTATGTTTTTACCACATAGTTTTGCTTTTTATATTGTAATGTTCTTCCCTCTGTCTCCCTTCTGGATCACCAGCCTTGAGGAACTGTGTGAGTCTTATCTCCACTTTCCATTCCCACATTGACTCTTCTCATGTGACCTTGACCCCCCACCCCCAGCCCACCACCTGGCCCATCATCGACCCAGCTCAGATCATGCGCCATTGAAATCACTTTGCACTAAGAAATACAGAGAGATCAGACAATGCCAGAGAGAAAAGGCAGTCTTCTTTTATTATTTGTTCTGTTTTGTTTTTAAACTAGTATAAGCCTGAGGATTTCACAAATTCTCTCTCCCACCCCTAAACTTTGCCTTATCAGAGCAAAGCCCAGATGCTGACGCAACAAGCCACTGAAGGGCCGGGCATTGCCCACAGCCACAGAGTGAATGTCCCTTCTGAGCTCATTTCTCTTGGGGCGGGGTCGACAGGGCGGTGAAGGCCATCTTTCCAGGGCTGCCATGTCCAGTGGGCAGTGCAGCTGGGGCGGACTGAGGCAGAGAAAGACACTGAGTGGGCGTGAATGGACCCACCCAAGCCGCAGCTCTGCCTGTGCTGATGGTGTGGCCTCGAACAAGTCACTTCCCTCCTCTGGCTCTAGTTTTCTGATCTGGGGAAGAGTTAGACTGGAAAATCTGCAAAGTCTCTTTCACCTGTGGGAATCTGGGACTCTGTGAACAAGAAGCATAATTTCAATTTGAACATTTCCATAACATGCACAGGTATACACAGTATGATTAGAAAGGCGGGCTTTCTTCAAGGCCAGTGGTAGCTATCAGCTTCGGCATTTAGCCACATAAACATACTAATTTCCCTCTCGGTTGCTTTAAAATTAAATAGTTTCAACCTACCTGAATTTGAATCTCCCTGAAGGGCAGGAAAAAAATTAGGTGACCTCCCACCAGTGCTAAGATTGACAGACGAGGCAAGGCAGGCAGTTGTTCCGGTGACTGAGTTCCTCTGGCTCTTTGTGTTCCAGGCCCCATCGCTGTATCAGAAGCTGCCAGTCATATTCAACCTTTAGCTCTGAGAATTTCTCAGTGTCTGATGGAGAGGAGGGAAATACCAGTGATCACTCAAACAGTCCTGATGAGTTAGCTGATAAACTTGAAGACCGCCTGGCAGAGAAGCTAGATGACCTGCTGTCCCAGACGCCAGAGATTCCCATTGAGATATCCTCGCATTCAGACGGGCTCTCCGACAAGGAGTGTGCCGTGCGCCGCGTGAAGACGCAGATGTCTCTGGGCAAGCTGTGTGTGGAGGAACGTGGCTATGAGGTGGGGGCCTCTCCTCCCTTCTCCTCTCATCACGGTTCCTTTCCCAGTGCTCTTTTGAGTCACAACATGCTCCAGTCCCGTGCTCCTTTACAAACATCACTGAGTACATGACACAGCAGCTGCCCCCATGACGTGAGTGAAAGCACGCAGACCAACACAGCTCCCCAGAATGAGAGCAGTTCTCCCAAAGGAGGCACCAACATTGAACTACTCAGGAACCCTTCTTTCCAAGATTTAACTCAAACATCACCTCCTCCTGTCCCCACCTCCCAGTCAGGTTAAGGGTGTGAGCCTCCCTCTTCCATGTCCCTACTGTCCCCAGCTGACGCTATCAGAGCACATGTAACACTTTAGTTTGCATCCAGTACTGCCTTTCAAGAGGCAGGAAACACTGTGGTTGAAATTGTGTGCCCTGGAATCTGTCTGCCTAGATGCAAACCCCAGCCTTTCCACTACTTACTGCTGTGTGATGTCGGGCAAGCCACTTAACTTCGGCAGGTCAGTTTTCTCATCTGTAAACTGGGCATGATGACAGCCCCTGTGTCATAGGGATGTCGTCAGGGTTAAATGGATTAATAGAGCTCAAGCACTTATAGCACTGCCCGGAACAGAGTCAACTCTATATAATGGGGCCGTGGCGGCACTGCTAAAATTGTCATCATCATTGTCGTCGTCACAGTCACCATCTTAGGTCTCTTTTTCCTCCGTAAGCCCCACAAGGACAGGACTTGGTCTCTTCTGTCTTTGTAGTCCCCTTCCCCACCACGCCAGCCCAGTGCCTGTCAGGTGGGAAGTGTTCCATATACACGTTTGCTGAGCAGCTGCAGAAATGAATTATGGTTTTATTCTGTCTTAACTTTGCAGAATCCTATGCAGTTTGAAGAATCGGACTGCGACTCTTCAGATGGGGAGTGTTCCGACGCCACAGTGAGGACCAGCAAGCACTACAGCTCTGCCACGTGGTAGCAAGGGAGCGCCCACCCCGAGGATGTCACGACAGCACTGGCATTGCAAATCCGCCCCACCCCCGATTCTTCCGCTCTCTCCCTGCTTTTTCGGTCTGGGAAGAGAGCTGCCCCATCTTTCTTATCCCTAGAAATGAGCTGCAATAACAGGAACATGAGACTTCGCAAATCTCTGGAAAAAAAATATCCAAATGAGATTAAGTCTCACTGAACATTTCAATCAAGAATGGCAGGGATCTATTTTATTGAATATTCTAGCTACTGTAACATTGATATTTATTTTTGTTTGACATTTTAACACTTTGTACTGTAAAGATTGAACTATATATGATATATAGAAAGAGACACAATAATTTCTTGCAAAAAAAGAGACAGAAAGAAAGGAGAAAAAAAAAGACAAGTGGAATTTAGGAGCTACATTCTTGGGAATTTGTGGGGCCAAGATGTATTATTGCTACTCGAACAGGGGACCAGTTCTTTTGACCAGAGTGACTGAAGAAGAGCCAGAGCAAGACGTGTTGAGCATTTTAGGAAACAAGAACAACAAGGGAGAAGCCACCCCAGGTAACCTGTGATCAGACCACAGTAGATTCGACCAGCTCATCCGATGAGCGATAGAAATGACCTAGAAAAGCCTGGTGACCATATACTTGCACCCAAGGTCTCTGAGGCCATGGGCTGCCTCTAGGTGGGAAAGAAAACTGTGTGTGTGAAAACTGGTTTCATTTTTTTAAACTTTTAAGCAGCATTTGGTTGCAAGGACTTACAGATAGAGTCAAACCTTCCCCAACAAATACTCACCTTTTACATGCTGTCATTGTCATTACCTTGACCAATGTGCCATTTTCTTGTAGCCATTTCCTTTCCACCCGTTGACCACTTCGATCAGGAAAGAGGGGAGGGCTGCGGAGGAGAGAGGGACGAGAGAAAATGGAAACTGACAGCGGTGTCAGAGAAGCACGTGCGAAGTCTGTGCCGGTGCGTTGTCGGGCGCCCCTCTCTGGAACCGGGTTGCTTGTCTACTAGAATCGTATTGATTCAAACAGGAGAACAGACTTCGAAGGCAGCTAGGACATATGTGAGTCTCCCTGGTGTCCAATCCCAAACCATCCCCTGGTGTTACTCATTAACTCCTTCTATCCTGTAAGCTTTAGTGCCTGGCTACCGCTATCAGAATAAAGGCAAAATAAGCAACTTGCAAAAGGCAACACCTGCCCCGGCCACCACCACAATAGCATTTTTCGTTAAATGCTATTTGTAAAATACATTTTCCTTCTCTTTGGGTCAGTGCAGTTTTAAATAATTGGATTGGGCAGTTCATGGGAAGAACAGCTGATGCTGAGCAGCAGTTAGGAAGATGTCGCCTGGCCCAAGGCATGAGGTCCTTCCCATCCAGGGTCACGGGCTCTGAAAAGCATCCCAAAGTACTCCATGGTACCTCAGCTTTAAGCTAATTTTTCTGTAGAATTTTACACAAAAACAGGTGTTGGCCTAGTTCCTGTCTCTGTCAAACAATGTCTCCAGGCTCAGATCTACAGAAGGTGGCCGCACTCGGGCACAGCAGCACGCCCACCCTTAGGGCAGACTTGTGTGTACAGGGACAGACCATTCCCCTCGAGGACGGAGCACTGCCCGCCCCAGCGCCACTGGCTGCATCGGCCGAACAGGAAAGGCAGGAGGGAATTCAGAGCAGTTCCTTTTGCTTATTTGACCCCTCCTTTTGTTTACAATTTATGTTGAGATAGTAATTTAAAATTTAGTGTCTATAATTTATAGATCTTAGGAAAATGAAGGAAAAATGTTTAACTTATACAGAGAGCAGTATTGTTTGCATTAAATTATTCCATTTTGTATAAATTCTGTAGCTGGACTACATGAAAGATCTTAAGTTATGACATTATTATCATTGTTATTTTATTTTATAATAATTATTCTCATTTTCTGTCGATCAGAAGGTGTGGTTTACAATGTAGCACAATGATTGTGTTTATTGCTAACCATGAGTTATCACGAATTTTTATGATTTTTATGAAAATGGAACTGCCCCTCGGGAGCTCTCCCATGTTCCCCGTACGCACACCCCTCGTCCTCTGTGTTCCGCAACAATCACCCGAGGACGCACGTTCTGCCCCGGAGCCCGGTGGGTGCGTGGTGATGCCATTTACCCCAACAGCGCCTGGGCGGGCAGATGGCCGAGTGGATGGACAAAGAGTTCAAAAGCTGTAACCTTTCTCAAGTTTCTTAAGAAATAAAATCATGAGACTACACTAGAAGCCAAAAGAGAGTTATTTAATGCCCTGCGAGGAACGGACCTGGAGGATTTCTGCATGGGGCCCGTGCGTTAGGCAGTTCCAACACCCGCTGGCAGAGTTGCCCTCTTGTCCCTGCCAGATTCCTCCACACCCACCTGTTTTCTCCTAGTTGGGGGTAGCAGGGAAACTAAAAATAAAATATATACATATTTTATGTCATCCTATAACAAGACTAGAGAGATTTCAGTGCAGCTTGGCCACTTAGGAGCTCATAGGGCTGGAAAAGTGCCACCCTGAAGAGCCCTGTTTTCCGACCACATGGTGCCGTGAGCCTCTCTGGGTCGGTGCTTCTGGGAACAGAGGGGCCACCCCTCCGTGCCCTCTTTCCGTCCAGCGTGACACACTGACACTTCAGCCAGTCCGGTTCTTGCCCACCTATGTTGGCAAAAGAGAAACGTGACACCTTTCAGTCACGATCTTCCCAGAAAACCCCACCTGACACCTCCTGCTTCTGATAAGTTTTTGATTTCCCTTCTTCACTATTGTCATGGTGACGCCGTATACCTATCTGGACATACTGGTGTGAGCATGCTAGGGGAGTGTACCGCATTGAATCTTCAGTCATTCGCCGTATCAGCAAGAGTTGAAGTTCCTCACTAAACATTTTTATTTACTTTTTAGTAGAAGTGACTAGAGGCTTCAGGGGAGAACAGTGTCTTTAGGTTAAAAAGAGAAATGCCCTCTCCATCCCAGCCCTGCCCTTTCCTGCCTGCCTGGGGTCACCAGGACAGTAGAGAGTTGGTGTTTCTTTGAGGACTCCACAGTCACCCGAAGAGCATGGAATCAGGAGCTCAGGGAATACAAGAGCTACTTCTTCAGTCCTGATGACTGTGCAACAGTGCTTTAAGGAACCCCAGGGGACTGTGGTTTTAAGGTTCAGAATTGGCTGAAAGTTTAACCCCCTTGGGATGAATGTCCAAATTCATTTTGCATGTTTGTGACCGACTGCAAGATAATGAGTTTTCATTTGTGTTGCAGATAGACCTCTGCTTCTGATTCCCATCTATTTCTAGATCATGTATGCTGAGTAACAATTCCTCTTAAAAATTGCTTAGCAGACACACTGAGAAGCCTGCATCTGCTTGAAATTATAATGGAGCTTAAAGTTTGGACCGGTTTGCAGGACGGCGAGAGCACCTCCGCAGGAAGGTGGAGATGCTGGCTCTGCTGTAAGATGACCTGGTCTGGCCCGCGTGAGGTGAAGATAGTCTAAAACTTTAGCATCAACAAATCCATCCCTCAAGAATGAAGGATGTTTTTAATAGAATTCAATAAGCACTGGACATCCATTTCAGGGCCTCTTTGTGCTAAATTTCCCTTGTACCCAAAGTAATAGATTTGATGGCTTTGGGGTTTCCTGGTAAAATTAAAAACCCAATTTTAAATGCCCTCCCCCAGCGTGCAGCACGGACATCCTTTCGGTGCACATGCGTCCTTATTGGGCAAATGATTTACTCTTCTTTCCCCATCCCCCACGTCTCCCGTTTTCCCCTTAAAACGTTCCTACTTGAAGTTCCTGGAACTGAATTCTCCAAAATTGAACATAATACTTAGAAACCTAATGATTCTGCCTCTGCTCTTAGAGATTCTGTGTGTGTGTGTGTGTGTGTGTGTGTGTATACATATATTATTTTTTTTATATTTTTATATTTTGCCACTAAGCCAGAAACCAAAACGCCACCACATACAACCATCGGCAACCTATGCTTATTCTAAACACTGGAGACCAGCGTTACTTACTGGTCACCACATTCTTTCCTGCTGAGCCTGGGCACAGCCTCAGAACCTCTAGCACACTAGTACACAGGCATCCACAGTCTGCTTGTTGGCATGTTTCAGCCAGTACTCCAGGCCCCCGAGTAGAGCACCCCATGGAACCTGGAACGCTTCTGAGGGACAGGTGGCAGAAGAGGGGAGCTCTGAGGACAAGGGTTACCCCAAAGGAGTTTGGGCTTTGATGATCTGTCGTGTGACCAGAGTGTGATGGCAGGATTTCAAGCAGAGCCAACCCCCAAGCAAATGGCAAGGCATCTGTACAGAAACTTCTGGCAGACTCAGACCTACTCCCGAGAGCTACATCATGGAGTGCAGGGGAATGCTGGCGCCTGGCCGCTGCCCCGAGACCAGGCAGACAGGGTCCTCCGGTGGTCGCGTCGCAACGTGCAAGCTACGAGGAAGATGTGCCTCACTGACGTATCGCCTGGGCAGCTCTTTACCTCCAGTGACCATTTCTCAGGCTCCGGAAAAGGGAAGACTCACTTCTTTACTGCAATAATTTGAGTTCCCTGTCAATTTGGAGCACATTAACTTCATTTTTGTGGTAAAGTCTCAAAACCACCCCCCTCATCTGGGTTCCCTGTGGCTTCCAGTACTAACAGGTCCCCTGCCTGCACTGTGTTGGTCTCTGATGCCGACTCCGTTGTCAAACGACTTACTATACAGCAATAGGAGCAGAGTGACTACCAAAGCAAACATGTGGAATTCGACAGGTGTCTTTCACTGTTTTTTGTTCATCTATTTTTTTAAGATTTTATTTGCTTATTTTTAGACAGAGAGGGACAGAGGGAGAAGAGAGGGAGAGAAACATCAATGTGGGGTTGCCTCTCACACACCCCCTACTGGGGACCTGGCCTGCAACCCAGGCATGTGCCCTGACTGGGAATCGAACCTGCGACCCTTTAGTTCACAGGCCAGCACTCAATCCACAGAGCCACACCAGCCAGAGCTGTTCATCTTTTCTTAAAGGCACTGGTTGTGTCCTGGGAGCTGCCTTCACAAATCTCAGCATTTATCAGGACTTTAGGGATAGGAAGACTTTACATGACTGGGTTTCATGCAGCCAGAAAAAAAATAGGTGCTGGAAAGCCATTCCTGTGGCTCTTTCATTAGACACACCCACAAAAGGAAGAGACCACCACTGTTTTGTTTTGTCTCTTTCCGATTATTCGGGCATGGCCTAGGTAGGCGCGCTGCTCCTCGCCTATGGCTTTCCTGCTGCCCATCTCATAGCTCTTAAGCATTGTTAGCAACCCCACCATAAAGTGAACGTAGAGAGGGAAAAGGTCAACGTGAAAATCTGGCTTCCGAAAAATATTTATCCTGGGAGAGCTAAAACACCATTTTGGAGAGTCTGATTTTCAGCCAATCCTGATCCCCACTGGCAAGGGGAACTCAAAGTTAGCAACGTGTACACACACACACTACACAAAACATTTACATCCATTTATTTGGGAAATTGCTTTGCCTGTAAACTCACAACTGCTAAGGCACATTGTTGCATGATTATGAAGGGTGCAGGGGGGAGACCAATCTCAGGATCCCAGTGAAGGGAAAAGTGTGGAAAGCCTCCTTGTCTCCCCCTCCCTTCCCCTCCTCCGGGAATACAGCCACGGATTCCAAAGTCTGGTCGGCCTCCTCTTCAATCCCACCCTTGTTATCAAGCTTCTTTTAAAGCAACACTTCTTTGTTGTGGTTTTCGTTGTTTTGGGTCATATGAGTACAAAACACAATGCTTGGGAATTCATTCTCAAGAATTCATGTTGAACATGTGGCCTAGATTAAAACCTCGGCAAGATTCTTGGCCAAGCCAAATCAAAAACCCAGCAGACCATGCCCAGGGGCAACAGTTCTGGTGAGAACGGAGCTATTCCTGCAGGGGACAGGATCCCACAGCTGGTCAGTGTAGGTGCGGAGGTCCTTCTGCCCTGGGAAGTACTAACCCAGGTCTGTGCCAATTCAATAATGCTGACTCAGGGAGCAACGGCGGCTACAGGTAATTGAAACACTACAGAACAAAGTGACCTCAACCCAAGTTTTCCTCTCAGAATGAGAAGATAAAATATCACTATTCCTCAAGTTATTCTTGGCAAATGACAAACTGAAAAGCACTCGGAGGATACACCAGCTCATGTCTGACTGCACTGAATCCATCCCCCGGCAGGGCAGAGAAGGGCTTGCCACCCAGAAAGGACAGATCAGAAAATGTACTGATGGCCACTTGGTCCGGGTGAGTCAAGGGCCCTGCACTGTCCAGGTGGACAGGGATTTCTCCCGACCATATCCATAAAATACAGAGTTTGCTCCACTCATATTTAATCGTCTGTCTCGGGGATTGCAATCACCGTGATTGTCAGGATGTGCCACCAAGAGGAAACGTGACACACACGAGGACACCAGTGCCTGGACACAAAGGGCGTCACGGAAGTCACTGCATCTGAGGGGCACGTGGAAGTGCTAAGCAGTTTGGTGGCGTCTTCCCCTTGGTTTACGGAAGAGGTAGGTCATCAGCAAAAAAAGTGCAGAAGAAACACTGTTCACGGGACTAACAAGATGAAGAGTGAGGTCAGTGACACGGGTTCACAGGCCATCGTTTACACTAGTAACACACACCAGGGACTTAACAGAACACCTGTCACAACAGCCTGTCACGTTGCAAAGAGGCGCTCTGGACAGGGAGGGTCAGCATGCTCCCCCGACGCGGCTCAGGGCTTGGCAAGAGACGAACACAGCAGACTTCCCCGAGCTCCTTGTCGATAAAACATAAACGATTTTCTAAGAGGCTATCCATTTGACAGAGTGTCCTACTAAACCTGGTATAATTCGCCCTCTAGAGCAGTGTCCTTTATGACAAGACACTGCACACAGATGAACACTGTCCAAACCACCTGTTGAGGATGACAAAAAAACAGTGACAGGCTGTCGAGGACCGCACCCGCTACACACACGGGCAACAGGGACCCAGCGCCCAAGCCCCGGATCACATGCCCTTTCTGTTACTTAGATGATTGGTGTTGCTTGTTTCGCTCAAATGCAGGTCTTTCTGACTAAACTTTTTAATGAGAGTTCCAGGAACTAGAGCCACCAGAGCGATGGCCAACAGCTTGAAGACAGTCCCCCAGGAGAAAAGTGCATCCAGAGAGGTGAGGGTGGACAGGATGGAGCCTGTCTGCACGCAGATGAAGTTGTAGGGGATCAAACCTGGAAGGGGGGAAAGGAAACAGCCCGTTACTGGAGGGGCAGGAAGAAGACGAACAGGGACCCTTCAGAAAGGTCACCAGGAATTCACAGCAGGGACCCCAGGTCTGGCTTTCTCCCCAGCTCCTGACCCATGAACCTGTTACCTCTTTCACTCCTTCTCCTCCACTTTCCCCCTCCTTTCTTCACTTTCCACATACACCTGCTTTGAGATGGCTTACAAAAATATATACACTACAGTAAGATTAAAAAGATCTTAGCTGGGAAAACAAAAGGAGTAAAGAATAAAACAAGGGAGTACAGTTAGGACAAAAACGCATAAGGCCCACACATTTGCTAGAGGCGGGTCCCAAACCTGCTTCTGAGCACCCAAGAGCCAAGTCAGGAGGGGCTCCAGCATTATGAGATTTACGGCACACTTACCGTGGAAACAAACACTCCCACAGAAGTGCCACTTTTCCTGCTCTGTGCTGCTTCTGAGAGGCCATCAGATCCCCTGGATCTCAGAAGGCTGAGTGGGGGCCAGACGGGCTGGGGGCGTGACTGCCCTCTGGTGAGCTGATGAGAACACGCCCTCGGGCTCCACCCCGATCCAGTAGAGCATCAGGGCCCTGCATTTTTTTCCCCCAAATTTATCTTTTTTTTATTTTCAATTTCAGTTAACATACATCACTATATTAGTCTCAGGTACACACACCAGTGACTAGATATTACATAACTTACTAAGTGCTCATCCCGATAAATCTCGCACCCAGTGGGCACCATACAGTCATTGGAATGTTGCTCACCAGCCCCTGAGCTGTACTTACATCCCCAGGGCTGTTCTGTGGCAGCCCATTTGTCCTTCTTAGTCCCCCCAACCCCCCCCCTCCAAATCTGGCAACCATCAAATTGTTCTTGTACCTATGAGTCTGGTTCTGTTCTGCTTGTCCATTTTTTTTTTTCAATTCAATTGTCAACAAATGTGTGTCTATTGCCATTTTATTGTTCATATTTTTTTATTCTCTTTCTTCATCTTCTTAAAGAAGACCCTCTCACAGGAGCCTGCATTTTAAAAGCCTTTCCCCGGCACACTCAGATTGGGTTGGGACCCCCAGACACTCCACCCCTCTTCTGCAGATGATGCCTCAGGACCACAGACCACTCAACACTGCACAGCGTGTAAGAGGGGGCCCAGGACTCTGGTGTCCAGGGGCTGGCCAAGCTTTGTGGCACCTAAGTTATTGCAGGCTGCTAACTGAGGCACTCTGTATGAAACCTGATATGACCAGAATCAACTGTGGTAGGTTTTGCTTCTTTTTAAGATCTCAATTTCTCTCAAAAATCCCCTATTAATAGCAGCTGCTCAACCACAGATTTGTTATGTTTGACATAAAAGCCCTGATTATTCTTCCCCTCCATGCCAGCCCCTCATCTGGCCAAGCGGCCCGCTGAGGGTGAATGGCTTGCTGAAGGTCACACAACTGTCAGAAGGTAAGAGGAACTTCAGTGTTCCCAGCTCTTCCTAAGGCAGATCTCATTAAAAGAGGGGCCAAAGCCAGACAGGAAGTCCTCTGCTCTGTTCCTCTCCTTCGTCTCCGCCATTTCTCCTGTCCACATACCCTTACTCCAACCCTGAATTCCCTGCTATGTTTACTGAGCACCCACCACGGGCCAAGTCCCGTGCTGTAGATGGCTGCCCTAATCCAGGGCCTAGCACGGTGCCTGGCACACAGCAGGCACTAACAAAGTGGTGGAATCAACAGTCCTATTTTTTCTGAAAGTATTTTGATAAGGTTTCTTGTTGAAGCCTGAGTAGAAATCAGGATTTTAGCCAGTGAGGTTTGAAGACGCTCCTCCCAAGCTGCTGCTCTCAGGGGCGGGCCCACGCCGCGCGGCTGGGGAACCCAGGGCAGGCCCCCCCGCACGGCTGCTTGAAGACTCCTGTTCACTCTGTCAGCTTCTTACCGATAAGAACAGAGAAGAAGAACTGCTCAATGGGGATGTTCAGAATCGGGGCCGAGAGGTTCAAGAACCAGTTTGGTGTCATGGGGAAAAGTCTCAAAAACAGTAGGAAAAAAAACAAGCTGTTTCTGTTCTCCTCCACCTGTAGCCAAAGAAGACAAGGCCATTAGGAAGCAGAAAGAGTGTCCAGGTACTGAAGCCTGCTGGTGCCGGGCCTTGTTCTCGACACTTTACATACCCTGTCCCGAACCTCCCAACAACCCTCCAGGGTAGAGGCTGTTTTCCTTGTTTTTAAAACAGAGATACCTCAGGCTCAGAGACATCAGGAACTTGCCTAAAGTCACAGAACTGATAATGACGGAGCTGGGATTTGATCTCACATCTGTGTGTCTTAGAGCCATTAAAAGAACCCCTAGGGCCTCCAGAAGCAGAGCGGAGGAACCCTGGGAAATCCCTGCCCCTCACCCCCTTCAGGGCCATCAGGTGACTCTATGGGAGTCCAGTACTCAGAGATACTGCTTCCTCTTACCTTCCTCTGCAGTGGGGCCACTTTATCAGGGAAGTAGGAGACCACCAGTTGTTTGCCAAACATACTGGAAAGCAGGTAGCAGCACGTGGCACCCACCGATGTCAACACACAGCACAGCAGAAGCCCTAGCCATGGCCCAAACAGAGCACCAGCTAAAACGTTCTGCAAAGAAAACAAACCCTCAGCCGAGAGAACACCAGGCAGCTGCCAGACACCTCATCCCAGAAGTCGAGAGTCACAAGTTCCAGGGGGATAAATGGTGACAGAAGGAGACTTGACTTGGAGAGATAAACACACAATGCAACACACAGGTGATGTACTGTAGAACTGTATACTTGAAACTTGTTTAATTTTATTAACCAATATCACTCCAATAAATTCAATTAAAAAAAACAAAACAGAAGAGTCAGTGTCGCAGGTTCGATTCCCAGTCAGGCCACATACTTGGGTTGCAGGCCACGGCCCCCAACAACCGCTCATTGATGTTTGTTTCTTCCTCTCTCTCTCTTTCTCCCTCCCTTCCCTCTCTAAAAATAAATAAATAAAATCTTAAAAAAACAGAAGAGTTGCCTTGGCCAGGCTGCTCAGTTGGCTGGAGCACATACCTAGGTTGCAGGTTTGATCCCCAAGGGGGAGGCAGCCAATCAATGTTTCTCACTTTTTCTTTCTCTCCCTCGCTCTTTCCTTCTCTGTCCCTCTAAAATCAATCAACACTTCTTCCAGTGAGCATTTAAAAAAAAATAGAGCCATGGGTTCCCTCCACTCTCCTGGCCAAAATCCAACTCCCATTTTAAAGAATGAAAAGTGCTCCAAGGGCCGAGAAGCACAACCCTGGCTTTGCTCTCTTCACCTATAAAACAGGGATGAGGACTAAAACCGCAGAGGGCAGGAGAGAATTAAATGAGAAAATAGGAATATACAGCACCCAGCTTGCCGCATGGGCTGTGGTATGTCCTGCAAACACAGGTGTTCGAGAAGGCAGAACTGAAGCTCACAAGTTATTTTTACCATTTTAAATGAACACAAACCATGAATTTTCCCTCAGTAAGACCACACAAACTATAAAAAATGTCTTGTTTCTGCCCTGACCGGTGTGGCACACTTGCTTGGGCACTGTTCCATAAAGCTAAAGGTTGCCAGTTCGATCCGTGGTCAGGGCACACGCATGGGTTGTGGGTTCAGTCCCCAGTCGGAGCCCAGGGTGCATACGAGAGGCAACCCTTTAATGTCTCTCTCACATCAGTATTTCTCTTCCTCTCTTTCTCCCTTTCTTCCCCTCTCTAAAAATAAACAGATACAATCTTTAAAAATAAATAAATAAAACATCTCTCTTTGCTTTGTGCTGGAATTACATCTATGTGGTATGCTAATGATGAGGGTTTCATGTTGACCAAAGATCTAGGTGACATTCAAAAGCCTTAGATTAACAAAAATGACAAAGTGAGCCAATGCTTCCTAAATGCAATTTGGCTGGTTAACATCATTCTGCCAAAGGTGGGACCCTTCGTCAATCCTCTCCATGACCCTGTGTCATAACTATCCTTACCCCATTCTACAAGTGAGAGACATGTGAGCAATTAAGTATTGTGCCCAAGATCACACAAGGCAGAGACGAGGTTCATCTCTAGGTGGCAGCTGGCTGTTTGCTCCAAACAGGGATCAGCTCAGGTGGGAAGGCAGGCACCCGAGGAGCCAGCCCCTGACCTCAAACACCACACCCCTCCCCTGTCTCTCTTGGCATGGCCACGTTTGCTTCTCTTTGTTTCCAACAAAGGAACTGCTTAAGCAGATCCAGCCTAAGCCTGCAGGAGAAAAAGATGCTGGGGCAGGAGACAGAAGCAGGATTTCCTGTTCCGTCACTTCCTGTTCCTTATTCAATCATTCAACAAGTGCTTGGGGACCACTGTGTGCCAGGCACTGTCACCGTGCCAGCCACTCGACTCCCAGTTTCATTTAATCGTCCCACACAACCCTAGAGGAAACAGGGTTGGAGAAGCTAAAAGGCTTGCCCATGGTTACACAGCTGGGATTCAAACCCACCCCATGCCCTAGCATACACATCCTCGTACATTTACGTGAACCAGTTCACAATGCTGCTGGGAGGAAAGCACAGATTATTCTGTGTAACCTGCAGTGGCAACTGATGAGTAGCATCCAACGACCAGAGAATAAGCAAGTCTGACACTTGGGTCCAGAGGGGCCACCTGGAAAATCAGAATGACTTGTCCTCTCCACACCAGGGAAACTTCTCGATCCTCTACAGCCTAACACTACCATGAACAACTTGCATTTGTTCATCAAACACTTATGAAGGCACTTTTCTGTGCCAGGCAAGGAATACCAGGGCTGAGAATAAGAAACAGGCCCTACCTTCAAGGAACTCAGGAACCCACAAACTAATAAAGAAAACAGATTTTGGGGGGGTGGGGGCCTTGATCAGAAGAACCTGGGCTCCCTAAAAACAGATTTTTTCCTGTCTGTTCCTTTAATGTGTTTGCTTCTTCATCTAAAACAGTGCCAAAACGCACAGCATCACAGGAGCTCTGAGGGGAAGAGATGATGCAGTACAGGGCACACGTGTGTTTCTCTGAGGAACAGTGCTCCACAGCTCTCAGTGCCTTAGAAGCAAAAGCAGAATATCTGAGGGGAAAGGCAGACTCTGGGGCTGGGTGGAAGTGGGCTCTGACCCCAGCCCCACCCTCTCTTCGCCTTGTCCCCATGGACAGTTACTCAACCTCTCCCCATTATAAGGCTGTTGGGAGCATTAAATAAGGTCATGCAGCTGAAACAACTAGGGCAATGCCTACCACTAGGGAAGCTGTCAAACAATGGTAGTCACAGTAGTCTGTCCTCTGAACTGTGTGACTTGAAGTCTAAGGGACTTTCTACAAAGACAGAAGGTGGCTTCCTGACAGGCACAGATGGAGGACGGGGCACTGACCAAGAAGCTGGAGCCAGGGATGGCAAAGCACTGCTTGTAGAGGTAGGCACTGCAGAAGAGCAGGAACACGTAGGCCTGGTGCTCCTTCCGGTAGTCTCGCAGGACCTCGGAGAGCTCCCGCAACTCGGCCAGGTCAGAGGGGAACCACAGTGACCTGGGGATTTGGAAAAGCAGATAGAAACGTGAGTCCAGATCAACCTAGCACCTATGAAAATCACTTATGGTGTTGTCTTTCCAAAGTAAGTGTATACATGCACTCATCGTCTGGTCTTCTGGAAACACACACACAATAGGTGCTCCAGATGATGGGCAACCAGATACAACACAGCAAAGCAGACGGAAGGGCCCTGGTTTGGAAGCGAGAGACCTGGGTTACCATCTGAACTCTGCTGCTATCCAGCTGTGTGATCTTGGCCTAGTCCCTGGGCCTCAGTCTCCTTATCTGGAAAATAAGTGTTGGTGTTGGGTAATCACTAAGGTCCCGTTCAGCTCTCAGGTTTTATGATCTAGTCTTAAGAAGCAAATGGATTAATTACCAGGCAAGTACTAAACGTCCTAATTTGCCTTCCTTTCAAGGAGCACCCCCTCCCCCACAGACTTTAGGCCAAGGACAGTTCAAACTTCACCCTGCTCTTGAGTTTCTAGGTAAAATGGCTGTTTTATCAGACAGTAACAAGCAAATTAAAGGTTCTCTGGGAAAATATATTTGTCCAGCACCATAAACATACCTCCTGATAATATGTGAATCTTGAAACTAACCCTTTCCGATTGCCTGCTTTTTCACCCTGCTCTTTATCTGGTCCTCAATGCACTCTGAGTCCTGTACAAGGGTTGCAGTGCAAAGGCTGCTCTGTCTCTGCTATCTGAACAACCCTTGAATCCATTTATGGTCAATTATGGGCAAACCCGCTTAGTTCTCATCAAAATGTTTCTCTTAGCATATCTGACACCCACAGCAAAGCTTTCCCAGCTAGAGCAAAAATATACAGTAACTGAAACAATTGTCCTAATATTCAGATATCAGTAACATCCTTGACGCGATGCTGTGCCAGGCATACTCCCATGAACTTTACAAACAGCAGAGCACTCACGACAAACCAGCCTGGTAGGTATTACACGGCCTCCTGCCTCACCCAGTTGGTGACAGTCAGGAAGACGGGCAGACTCTAAAATTAATTCCTGAATAATTTAAAGTTGTCCACCAAACGTTTCACCTGAAGACCAACTGCCTTAAAGTCCCAAGGGCAAACCTAAGTGAGGTGGGGTAGCAAGGACGATGGGGGGAAACTGACAGCAGTCGTGAAGAAAGGGCTGCAGGTCTGAACAGGGGCGAGGGTCGGCTGCAAATAGGAGTTAAGGCGGAGCCTGGGAAAGCGATGGGAACGCAAAAGGCAGGTGAAGCCACCACGAGACCAAAGGCGTGCGAGCAGCCTCCGCCTGGCGTAAAGCGCAGCGTTTCTCTACGAAAATCACCACCCGAAAGGAACCGGCCGCAGGCTCCAGACCCCTATCGCCTGTCCTAAAACTGAACCCCAATTCTCAACCCTCTCACCCCCGATCCGGGAATCCGTATCTCCGATTCCCAGACTCCATCCTCGAAACTGGCTCCTTTCCTGTGACCCAAACCCGAGTCCCCGCCACTCACCTGCCTTCAGTGTCCTCTGAGGAGCCCCGTGTCGGTACGCGGGGCAGTCGAGTCGACAGCAAGTACAAGGCAAAGGTGCAGCCAGCGAAGACCAGGAACAGGCAGAGGAGGGCGCGCATCTCGGCGCCCGCCCGGGACCCGCCAGGCTGCGGAGGAGCCTGAAGCCAGCCCCTAGGACCACTCCGCGCGGCCGCAGCCAGGGGAACACGTTCGCAGACGGACCGGGGCGGACTCGCGCCAAGCCCCGCCCCAGATCGAAGCCCCACCCCGGCCCAGACAAACTCCGCCCCCCTGCCCCGGGCTTAGATTCTAGAGGAAACCTTTCTTCTGGCCCTTCTCCTTGCGTGTCTGGTCTTCTTTAGCTTTTTTTTTTTTAACATTTATTTCCGTCATTTTCTCTAGTTATTTGTAGGCTCTCTGCCAGGCACTGGGAGATTCGAAGGCAAATCACGAGCCCTGCCCACAGTGTGCTTGCAGTGTAGTGGTCAAGACAGCCTTGTCCACAACCAGCTGTAACACCAACCAAATGCAGCCAGTGTAGAAGCAGGGGCTCCGTCCGGAGCGATGAGTTGGCAAGGAAATGACTAGTTGTTTGGTACATGTTGATTTTGAGAAGTCAACAGAATACAGAAAGTGAATGAGAAACCAGTGTTATTGAGCTTGTGTCAGCAGTGTGCTGGGGCAAGGAACAGAATAGTGAACAGGAAGGCAAGGCTCCTGCTCTTAAGGAATTTACTTTCCTTTGGTTGGGGGAGAGCATGGAGAAAGATATAATTACAGAACATGGTAAGTGCCATGGAGGAAACAGACATACCAAAGCTTATTCCACTCCAGAGAAGCAACTCATCTGCCCACTCATCTCATCACCTACTCATCTACCCACTTACAGATGAGTAGGTGAGCAGGTGTTCAGATGAAGTCACTCTGAGAGCCCAGAGCTGGGAGTGCTGAACAGGGCTCAGCCCTTGTCTGCCCCTCCTGAGCCCATGCACTTCCCTCTGCCCTGGACTGCCTCTCAACAAGCGGGTGAAAATGCAGAGCTCAGACTGAACATCAGATTTGGACATCAGCTGCCTCTAGAGAGAGTTGAAATGAGGGGAGGGGAGAAGTAATGTCAGGTGACATTCACTGAGTACTTAACACACTTAAGACCTCACAGTAATCGTTTTACATGCAATAATGTGTTTATTCCATATAATATGAAGCAGGGACTCTTAACAGCCCTCACTTTACAGTTCAGGACATGGGAGCTTAGGAAGAGTGAAGTCAGCAGAGGCCAAACACCAGCAAACACAGCATCTAGTCTCTTGCCCTCCTGTACCTTTGTGAGAGAAGACTGAGGTCAGAAGCCAGGTCAGGAAATCGTGGAACCAGTGAAAGAGAACCAGGCGGTTCATTCAAGGATGTTGGATGAGAAATGGAGGTGGGCAGGAGAGGTGCCCTGAGAGACCAAGCAAGACTGTTAGGAAAAGGACCAGTGCTCAGTGTCAGAGCCCGTGGAAAAATCCAGCAAGGAGATCTGAATGAAGGTTGTGGGATTTGGCCAACGGGAGGTGGTAAAGAACCTTTGACAGAGCTATTTTGGGAAATGCAAAATTTTCTACAGGCTCACTACCCAAGCCTCTGTTTGCTGTCCCTGACTTCCCACACCCCCCCACCCCAACTCCTGTTCTGATTCTTCTTACTCAACTTCTCTGCTTGGGAAGGAAGCCCTGGACTGTGCTCCCCACTCCCAACCTGCCTCCACTTTGACCTCAGTCTCCCCATTTCTCCTGGCCCCCAACCCAACACCTGCAGAGCCAACTCTAACCCGCCAGTGCACCGCCTGCAGGCTGCACCAGCCTCCATCAAGGCCACTTGTTTACAGTACATGCCCAGGCAGCCTGGCAAAGGACAGCTTCACCCCGCCACAAGGGACACATGCTGGACTGGGAAGCAGGATGGCTCAGGGAAGTAGAAGGCAAGAAAAGGCAAGAGGTTCCAGTGAAACAGCCAGGCACTTACCATGGCTCTTTGTCAACAGCACTCAACCTCCTTTTCTGGTGTATTCAGCTCCACAGAGAGCAATTGAAAGGAGCAGTTCTGAGGACCACATGATTTTGCTTCCCCACACCACTCCAACCAGTAGCGGCTGGGAACAGGAAGGCCACCTTCCCCAAGAGGATCCAGTGGCTGGTTCCTCTCCCTGAACTTTGGGATTAGACCACCTAATGAGTGGCTGAGGACCCTATGGTCCCAAGGACCCAACTGTCCAGCTGCCCTGTGGTGAGAGCCAAGCTGAGTCCGAGAGACTCGTGGCAGAGCACTAGGGTTAATAAAGGCCCATGAACTCTTGCTGCTGAAGGCTAGGGGCTGCCCCAATCCCTGTCCTTGCTCAGATCTGATGATTCAGCTCTTCCTGGTTTCTACAAGTAATCTCTTCAATAAAATTTGGGTTAGTATGGGTGGATGTCTGTCTCTAGCATCCCAGATCGCCTTGGCCAAGATAGGCTTTTTCAGGACTGAGAGCACAGGGCAGGAGTCCGAAGGTGGGCGCTTCTAAGTTTAGGGTTTTGGGCATAATGGTTGTGTGTTGATGTCTAAATCACAGTGGATGGGACCTCCTTCAAGTCCTAAGGCTGAGTCCACTCCATTCTCTTCCACAAACATTTAATGAGCACCTTCCTTGCACCTGACGTGGTGCTAGGTGCTGGGGCAGCCAAGACAAATGAATAGCTGCTGCTCTTGAGGCGCTCAGAGTCCCGGAGGGGGTGCAGACACAGAAACATATACATTACTGCATGATAAAGATGGTTACGGACGCACATTCAAAACTGGTGGAAAAGAAGGTGGTGGAAGGGCATCATGGGAAAACAAGCAAGGCCATCTTTGAACCATAGCTCCGACTCATCCAGAAATGCTGAAGGCCCTGGAGGGTTTTAGCCAAGGCACTAAAATGGGGGACAGCAAAATCTCCCAGGCTTCAGGCTTGTAAGCGTGCTCAAGAATGGTGTTGGGAACCTTTGGCAAGTTCAAAGAGGAGTGGGGAAACAAGCCAATCTCTTTTTCTCAGGGAGCCTGGGAAGTAAGCTAAGGGCCTCCAGGGATAATGAAGACAATAATAACAAAAGTGCCTGGGGGAGAAGTCAAAGGAAGAGAAGGGTGGGTGCCTCCAGGAATGTGCCCTCTGGCTGTGGGAGAGGAGGCCTTGACTTACAACTGAACTTGGTTCCACAGGCTCACGAGATAATGGAAAGTGTTCATTTAATCACTGTGTCCCAAGTGCAGGCACTACTCTGGCACACAGGTCCTGCCTCACAGAGTGATCTAGTGAAGAAAAGTATATATTAAACAAAGAATCACACAATTATTAAACAAATAATGTACAAAAATACAACTTTAAAAAGTGCTATACAGGAGAAGTCCATCGTGTTGTCTGGGAAATGAGGTCCAAGCAGACTTCCCCGGAAGACGTGACAACTGAGCTAAGATCCACACGAAGTAGAAGGTAATTGGTGAATATAGTCGGGAAGAGGGTAGCTTGGATTTGGGATTCTGACAGATACACTGACAAAGAGAAAGGAGGAGAGGGGCAAGGATAACAAGAGACAGAGTCCAAAGTTCCAGGGGCCTTGGGAGAGAGATTCTGACAAGAGTGGTCACACCTGAGACTGTTGCATGAAACTCACTGAAATTCATCTCCATTCCAGTGAACAAACTCCCCTCCTTCCTTTACTCAGTTACGCACCCACTCATCCATGCAGCCGATCCTCAGTGGGCAGAGCACCAGGCTAGGAGACACCAGGCGAAGCTGAGGGAGACTCGCTGGCCCAAGGAGTTTGTACATAATAGAAATGCTATTCCTGACAATTTCTTGCTGTTGTTTTGACCCGCTGCCTACCAGGCAAGGGAAGAAGGATGACGAAGTGACTGTGCTAAGCCACAAAATGCAGAACAAATGAAACTAAAACAAATCCGGGCCAATAGTGTATTTATCTCTCCATCCATAGTGGCTGAGGAAAAGTGAGGAGGGGGAGGGGTGACAAAATGTCCAGGTGGGCAGGACCGGCGCTGAGACATTTCTTTCAGACTTTAGTCATTCCCTGCAGGCATCCCTCACTTAAGTGAAAAACTCTGTATTACATATATAAAAATGTGCCACATGGAAATGTAGCTACAAAATTCTATAATTTATGGAATAGAGAGTCCATTTCTTTAAAATAAGAGCTGTTCTCACAGAAAGCAGTAGGACAATCACTTGGATGAAGAAGTCACCAGGACTGTGACACTCGGGAATCTCAGAACTCCCTACAGTGGCCACAGCTATGGGACACGTGAGGCCCACCCCTTTGTCTCTGTCCCTGTGCTGGGCATCTGGCCCCAAGGATGGCCCTTCCCTGGTTCTGGCCTCTCAGTCCTCAGCCCTCTGGGCCTCTTGGCTTGGCTGCTGTGGTCACTCCAGATCTATGGATCGCGCACAGTTCGGGGAAGCCTAAGAATTCCTCAAACTGGAGGCTTCCAGTGTTCCAAGAAAAGACCAGTTTATGCTTTGAATTCACATGTTAGCAACACAAGCTATTTAGCATTATTCCAAAAGGTTAATATTAATTACCCCTAACAGGTGGGATTGCGTATAACATATATTCACTTTGCATCTATGCATTTTCTAAATTTCCTTTAATAATCATGGGTCACATTAGTAATGAGGAAAAATAAATTTTTCCCACTTTAGAGGTCATCGGAAGCCAGGGGCGTGGTGTTCTTGCCTTCCCAGAGCACACAGCCCAAGAGAGAAGCCGGAGTTGATAAAGAGTAGCTCTCTTATTGCGTATTAGATAAGCCATATCAAAATAAATAAAAGTACATTCACATTTATCAAACCACTGACAGATGTGGCACCCACGGAGTTTCAAAGAATCCTTCCTACATTTGCCTCCCAGGCCCATGCAACAGCCTGTGAGGTAGGTCAGTCTCCGTTCCCTTCCGTACGTGGGGGCCTGGAGCAATTGGCACAGGGAAAGTGGAGTCGAGTCCAAAGTGAGGTCTCCAGCCAGTCCTTCCCTTTGAGATGCTCATCTGGCTGAACTGCCCAAGTGAGAGGTAGCAGAATCACAGGGTGGAACAAACGAGGCCCCAGGACGCAGCCAGACAAGGCGCTGGGCTGCAATAGCCTGGCTATTTCTGACTTGCCCTACTTAAGGGCTCCCTTCCCAGGACAGCTCTATAATGCAAAGCCATGTGACAATTTGCAATGTGACATCCATAGGACACTACTGGAAAAATCCCTGGTTTCTCCATACTTTCTGTGCCTTGAGGAAAAGGTGTGATGAGGCTTTTAAAAAGCCTGTCGTATCTTTCTTGATGTTATTGGTGTTCATGCATCCTGACAACATTTACATCTGCAACTTTGGGCAAAGAATAGGCCGGAAGACCGTTTCGGTGTTTTCCATCAGGACAAGATCGTACCGACACAGCTGGGGCCTGTGAGAAGAGGGTAACATATTCTTGTCAATAAAATAATACAAACACCCTCGTCTAGCAAAATAAATTGTATTACAGCCTTACCATATCAAATGAGTTAGCAATGATTTCTAATGTTATACAAAAGTGCTTCTGGTAAATGAGCAAAGTAATATCAACAAAAAGAAGAAAGCAAGATGTAGAATTTTATTTGATACATGATCTCAACTATATTTAAAAACAGTAACAGAAAGCAGATTAGAAAGAAATAACCAAAAGTATTAACAGTGGTTACCTCTGAATAAGGACATTATGTGGGATGTTTCTCTGCTTCCCAACACTTTTTGAACTTTCCAAATTTTTTAAATGAACATGTATTCCTCTGGTAATCATGGAAAAAAGTGTTAAGAAGTCCTATCATGCCTGGCTGGTGTAGCTCAGTGGATTGAGCGCAGGCTGCGAACCAAAGTGTTGCAGGTTTGATTCCCAGTCAGGGTACATGCCTGGGTTGCAGGCCATGACCCCCAGCAACTGCACATTGATGTTTCTCTCTCTCTCTCTCTCTCTCCCTCCCTTCCCTCTCTAAAAAATAAATAAATAAAAATCTTAAAAAAAAAGTCCTATTGTTTTTAGATGTAATAACTCTTCTTTTAGGAGAAACTTGTATTATTAAATGTTTTAGGGTAGCCTAAACCTTCAGGAAAAAGGTATTTATAAAGTACTAACTGTCCACATCACTTCCTGACTAGCTCCATCCAGGGACTGGACTCTAGGACCATGTGTGGCATTAGTAACAGAACATACACACCATCACAGCCTGTCTTCTCTCCCTTGTTGCTGTCTCTCTCTCTCTCTCTCTCTCTCTCTCTCTCTCTACACACACACACACACAACATTGTTGTTTACTGTTTTTGAACCAACTGAGAATAGGTCGTTTGCCACTTAATTCTTTTTTTAACATTTTTTATTGACCACTTAATTCGTTAGTGTGTATTCCTAAGAACAACAATATTCTCAGTGCAATTATCAAAGTTCACACTGATATGATACTTTCATATTGTATCAATGAAATACAATGTTCTGATTTTTCTGGACCATTTTTTATGGTACAAGTCCCTGTTCTATCAGTTTGCCAAATTATATGAGGTTTTCTTTTTCACAACAAATTATCAGCTTGTAAAACAGTGTGGTTAGAGTGGTTAGGGAGGAACTGTATAATTCTAAACATATAACATTATTTCCTTAGATTATTAGGTCATTTATCCTTAAGTACATAACAGTAAAATTCTCTTGGATTACTGGGCTAATTGTTTCTATCAAGTCTATTCTTGGAATAACTCAAGGGCTTCCAGCCAAGATGGAGGCGTAGGTAGATAGATACACTTTGCTTTCTTGCTTCCTTGCACAACCAAAGAAGCATAACAACCAATTTAAAAAACAAAAATAAGCAGAGCTGCCAGAAAGTCAAACTGTATGGAAGTCTGACAACCAAAGAATTAAAAAAGAAACATTCATCCAGACTGGTAGGAGGGGTGGAGATGGGCAGCCAGGGCAGAGAGGATACGCAGCAAGGTGGCGGCTGGCGGACTGGGGAGTCCCATATTTGCATGCCGATAAGCCAGGAGAAACAACTGGGGAGCAAGACAGACCATGCAACCCAGGGTTCCAGTGTGGGAAAATAAAACCTCAGCATCTCTGGCTGTAAAAACCTGTGGGGGTTACAGCGGTGAGACAAACTGCCAGTCTCACAGGAGATTCTATGGGAGGGTCCCATGGGGTCCTAGAAAGTACACAAGCCCACCCACCTGGGAATCAGCCCAGGCAGCACCTGAAAGGGCAAAATTCACTTGTGGGAAGTGGAGGAAGTGACTGAAAGTGGGGCAAGAGCTAAGCAAGTGGCATTGTTCCCTCTCAGACCCCTCCCCCACATACAGCACCACAACTCAGAGAAGTCAGTTGCCCCACCCTGGCAAATACTTAAGGTTCCACCTCTTACAATGTAACAGGTGTACCAAGACAAAGAAATATGGCCCAGATGAAAGAACAAATCAAAACCCCAGAAAAAGAACTAAACAATGAAGAGATAGTCAACCTATCAGATGCAGAGTTCAAAACACTGGTAATCAGGATGCTCACAGAAATGGCTGAGTACAGATGCAAAATAAAGGAAGGAGTGAAGGCTATACAAAGTGACATAAAGAAAACTATACAGGGAACCAACAGTAAAAGGAAAGAAACTGGGACTCAAATCAATGATTTGGAACAAAAATTAGAAATAAACATTCAACCAGAACAGAATGAAGAAACAAGAATTCAAAGAAATGAGGAGATGCTTAGGAACCTCTGGGGCAGCTTTAGACGTTCCAACATCTGAATCATAGGGGTGCCAGAAAGAGAAGAGGAAAAGCAAGAAATTGAAAACTTATTTGAACAGATAATGAAAGAAAACTTCCCCAGTCTGGTGAAGGAAATAGACATGCAAGTCCAGGAAGCACACAGAGTCCCGAAGAAGTTGGACCCAAGGAAGCACACACCAAGGCACATCATAATTATATTACCCAAATTAAAGGTAAGAAGAGAATCATAAAAGCAGCAAGAGAAAAACAGAGTATTACCTACAAAGGAGTTCCCATCAGACTGTCAGCTGATTTCTCACAAGAGACCTTACAGGCAAGAAGGGGCTGGATAGAAGTATTCCAAGTCATGAAAGGCAAGGACCTACATCCAAGATTGCCCTATCCAGCAAAGCTCTCATTTAGAATGGAAGGGGAGATAAAAATGCTTCCCAGATACAGTAAAGTTAAAGGAGTTCATCATCAAACCCTTATCATATGAAATGCTAAAAGGACTTATCTAAGAAACAAAGATCAAAACTATGAACAGTAAAATGGCAACAATCTCACAACTATCAACAACTGAACCTAAAACTAAACTAAATAAACTAAACAATAAACTAAACAAACCAACAATAAACTAAACAAACAACTGGAACAGGAACAGAATCACAGAAATGGAAATCACATGGGGGATGATCAGTGGGGAGTGGGAGGGGGGAAATTGGGAATAGGTAGCATAATTGGTAGGTAAAAAATAGACAGGGGGAGGTTAAGAATAGTATAGGAAATGGAGAGGCCAAAGAACTTACATGTATGACCCATGGACATGAACTAAAGTGGGGGGCGCTGGATGGAATGGAGGCACTGGGGGAGGAGGATAAAGGGAGAGAAAAAAGGGGACAACTGTAATAGCATAATCAATAAAATATATTTTTTAAAAAAGGTATATTCTTAGAAAACCCCTCATCTCCTTCATTGTGATTGATGAAGTCGAATTATAGCATTAGACCAAGCAGACTGGACCAATACCAACAGCATCTTTGGAAAGCAGGAGCTTGTCAACCCCAGCCTATCTATGTATGGCTCACCTCTCTGGATGGGCAAGCGACCTTAACTTCATTCGGAGAATCCTGAGCTTGTATGTCGGGCCTATTACAGATCCTGTGGAGAAGACCAAGGAAATGGCTGCCACTTTCTCCAGATCTTGATTAAATCTTGCAAGCAAACTCACTTGGTGGTATTTCTGAAATTTTGCTGGTTCACTAGAAGGAAGAGATAATATTTTTTAAATGGATATAGATTGCCAGTGAAAGAAAACACTTTTGAAGCTTACAAATCACAAGTGAGTGGGAGCCACTTGAGTCCATAGCCTGCAGTGGCCGATGATTGTGGGCAAAGCCCACTGGATTCCAAAGGACTGTGTAAGTGAAGCTGCTGCCCCCAGGACTGATGAAATGCTATGACCTCAGAAAGGTGTGTGCTGCCTGCTATATGCCAGGCAACTCTTGACATATATCTCCAATCCCCTGAAAAATTCTGCTAGGTATTATCTTCATTTTACAGACAAGGAAACAGATGCTTTTAAAGGATAAATTTTTGCCCTAGCTGGTGTGGCTCAGTGGCTTGAATGCTGGCCTGTGAACCAGAAGGCTGTCAATTCGATTCCCAGTCAGGGCCCATGCCTGGGTTGTGGGCCAGGTCTCCGTTTGGGGGCGTAGTGAGAGGCGGCTGATCGATCTCTCATGCACAGATGTTTCTCTCCCTCTCTTTCTACATCCCTTCGCCTCTTCCTAAAAATAAATAGGTAAAAAGTTTTTAAGGATTTTATTTATTTATTTTTAGAAAAAGGAAGGGAGAAAGAGAGGGAGAGAAACATCAACGTATAGTTGCCTCTCATGCACACACAGCTGGGGACCCACCCACAACACAGGCACATGCCCTGACTGGGAATCAAACCAGGTACCCTTTGGTTTGCAGGCTGGCACTCAATTCACTGAGCCACACCAGCCAGGGCAATAGGTAAAATCTTTAAAAAAAATAAAGGATGATTTTACAGGATGTGAATTATATCTCAATATTCTTCAAGGTTAAAAAAGAAATACATCTAACATGTGGATATAGGGAGAGTCATCAGGCAGACCTTGAATGTGACCCCATTTGTACCATAGTCTGGTAAGACTGGATAAACTCAAAGTACATACTATCATTTCCTTTACCTTGAATTGTGAAAATAATATTAAAATGTTAAAGTCTGTCTTGCAAAAAGAAGTAGCCATTATCTCCCATGTAATAGAACATGTATTTCCTCCCCTGCCCCATATACTCTCTGATTGGTGATGACTTTTTCACAAACATGACTAGGATGAGAATGATTAACCATGACTAAAATAAAGATGTTAAGGTCTCCATCATATGTATTCAAGACAAAAACCTCCAAATAAATTTAGGAGTTCATCCTTGGAAGAAATTTACTGTGTAAATTAAAACTTCTAAGACATGTAAAGGAATTATTGGCACGAATACTCAAATTTTGCTAGGTGAACACTTCCCATTATGTAACTGCACAATCTCCCCTGCTATTCCCTAGAACCTCCAGATGAGGTCTCTGCCTAGCTTCCTCACTGAAGGTCACGGCGCAGAAACCACCTGAGGCTGATTCCTCAAGGTGTGCTATACCTACCTAATGGTGCTCTCCCAGAAAATGCTGCCCTGCTGTGGGTTTGAGAATATTGACACTGTGGTGAGTTCTATGAAACAGAGCCATGAATAACCCTAAAAAAACCCCACACTACTCACAACCTTAAGTGTGGTGGGTGAAGGGAGCAATACAGCTCAGTGGGAGGAATGTAATATAGTAATTAAAGCTATGGGCTTTGGGGTTGGACAGACATGCCTCTGATTTTACCTAATTCACCCTGATCAGCTAGCTGTGTGATACTGACCACATTACTTGACCTCTCTGAGCCTCAGTTTCCTCATTCATAAAATAGAGATGGTAATACTACCTCTCAGGGTTCTAGTGAGAATTTCATTAGCCAATGTGTGCAATGAGCTTACTTCAATAAACAAAGGCTATTATTATTATTATTATTATTATTATTATTATTCAAGGATGCATTTTAAAAAGTCACCTCTAAACCACCCACCCACAGTTTCTAAATCTGCACAGTGAACCCATTAGGCACTTGCCAGTTTCAGATGACATTCTACTCGGTCTTCTACGGGTAAGGCTGAGAAATGACCCGAATGCCTTGCAGTCAGCAGGACCCAGGAAACACTTCCTGAGTACATGAGCAAAATGAGCCTAGAGTTCCTTTGCTTAAAGTACAGAGTTTAGGGTATTTTTTTTCTTTTTCTCAAATGTAGAAGTAATAGATGAAAAAATTATTAATTATTTTAAAACATATATAAGTATATAATACATACACACAATATATACAAAATTGAAAAAGTAAAGAGAAGCTGAAAACAAGCACTCATATTTCCACCACCCAAAGGGAAATCTAATGCTTTGTCATGTTTCTATTTCACTTTTCTAATATTGCCAAGCGAAAACCTCATATATATAGAGAATACATTGTTAAGTTTTATACTTAATATAATTTTATATCCTGATGCTTTTCACTTCACATATTATAAGCATTTTATTTAATTTTCCTGAAAACCTCAATGTATGAATAATATTCTATTATATGGGAATATTTAAATTAACCATTTCCTCATTATGGGATTTTTAAGGTGTTTCCAATTTTCTACTATAAGTTACATTCTCTGAGTTTTACAAACATACACACGTGTATGTGTGTGTGTACACACATATGTGTGTGTGTGTGTGTGTGTGTGGTGAGCTCATAAAAGAATAGAAACATACATGTATGGGGGTGGGTGTCTGTCAGGGTGGGATTGTTGGGATGGACCAAGAAGTTGCACTTTTGTTTTACGTTCTCCTTTACTGTTTAAGTCTTTCACAGCAGGTGAAGATAACTTCTGTAATTAAATGTTTAAACAAAGGAAGGGAGGAGGTGAGGGAGAAAAGGAAGGAAGGGAGAGAGAGAGGGTGAGAGGAGGAAGGGGGGAGGGGCAGAGGGTAGGGAAGGAAGAAGGAAGGACGGCAGAGGTAATCCTTGCACCAATCCATTTGTAAAGAGCCTGGGAGGTCAACAGCCACGGGAAGCAATTACACAATATGTCCTCTTATATCTTTTGTAGAACAAAGAAAAGTACAGACATGAAAATAAGAATAGGTATATTTGGGATTTAATTTCTCTGAGCAAAAAGGAAAATAGCAGACTGCAAACTAACCCAACCCAACTTACTGATTGATTTTGGATTCTGTGGTGTTTCCAGCTTTGTCTCTCAATTTGATTGTAATGGACCCTCTTCTTATGCTCTTGTTCCACGTTATAATATCCACAAAGTAATGATATACTGCAAAACCAGGAGAAACATGGTAAGAGAGAGAGGTATTCCCAACTGCTCCCCTAAAGGGTCAGTTCCTAAGAACCCAACCTCCCTAATAACTGAGTCTCTTTTTTAGTTCATTTCTAGTTTCTCTGCAAATATCCAGGGTAGAATTTTCTAATACTCCCTTCTATTCTCCTTGGTAAAGATGGCTTGAGTGACAGCAGAATTCAACGGTATCCAGTCGCCATGTTTAGGCAGCACCGTTGAATATCAGTGTTCCCACCTTACTGGCCAAGGTCTCGTGGCCTGCTGCTGACTGTGACCAGTTCACTTCAAACCCTGCCCATTTCAGAATACACCAGCAAGGTGCCATTAGAGACCCTCCACAGCCGACAAGGTCTTCCACAGCCTGGGCCATGTCCGCCAGCCTCCCCAGCCTCCCTCATCACGTCCTCAGTCATGCCACACCAGCTGCACTGCCAAGCTCCCTCTTGCTCCTGGGCCTTCCCCTCACCTGAATGTTCTTTTTTTTTAATTTTTAAAAAGACTTTATTTATCTATGTTTAGACAGAGGGGAAGGGAGTGAGAAAGAGAGGGAGAGAAACATTAATGTGTGGTTGCCTCTCACATGACCCCCACTGGGAACCTGGCCTGCAACCCAAGCATGTGCCCCGCCTGGGAATCGAACCAGAGACCCCTTGGACCTGAACATTCTTACTTTGCTGCCTTTGTCAACTCATCTATCAAGTTTCAGTTTAATGTCATTTCCTCCAGGAGGCCTTCATCGACCCTCAAACTAAATCGGATCTACCTCTTGGAGTTCCTATTATGCTCTGAGATTCTCCTATCATTAGCACACTTTATTTGCAAAAAGTCAGAAAAAAATGATAATCAAAAAAATGGTAAATGAATGGATATATCCATATAAATATTGCTTGAATAATATCTTATGGGGTTACGAAAAAAGGTAAATATACTACAGCAATAACTGAGAAAGAATAAAGGGACGATTACTCCTCTTTGTAATTTCAGCGGTAACACCTTATAGGCACCCGATAAATTCCTGTTCGGGTAAAGAGAGTACATGATGTGTTCAGAGAACTCCTCTTCCTCTCTGCTCTTTGCTCCCTAAGGTCAAGAATGCTTTGGGAAAATGGGGATCCCGCCACAATATTCGGATCTGCAACTCTCGGTCAGAGTTGCAGAGAAAGGGAAAGAGGCTCAGGGAGATGGCTGTCCCACAAGGGAGGGAGGGAGGGAGGGAAGCTCTGGAGTTGCCATGTCATGGCCTGTTATTATTGCTCAAGGGCTTGCCCCATCCGGACCTGGCAGACACAAAACCCTGGGCTGCCACACGTGGCCCTAAAGAAGGAGGGAAACCCAGGCACCTGCGGCCTCTTTTACAAGGGTTGCCTCCAAGAAAAGTGAAATGGGAGACAAGATTATAAGACATACATCTGCCCAGGAAAACCCCCGCTGGCTTCCCCAGGCATCGTATCTGCTACCCCATTTAGCTCCCATCTGGAATACCCAACCTCTCAGTGTCTCTAGCAGCTCAGCATGGCTGCTCTGGAGCTGGAACTGATGCATCAATGTGGCTGACACCTAATTTTCCCTAGCCCCAATCTCATGTCTCTTGGGGATCAAGGAATTTTCTGGAAGATGAAGTCAACCACTATGATTTGTTGAGATTTTAACCCTTCTACCCCAGGAGATAGGCATTTTTATCCCCATTTCACTTATCAGGACATTGAGACTCAGAGAGGTCAAGTGTCTTAACCAAGGCCACACAGCTAGTATGTGGTAGAGTCAGGATTAGACCTAGACCTTGCCAGTGCCAAAACCCAGGCCTCACCAAGGGCCTTCATTTGCTAAGAAGTAGCCAGGAGCTGAGACTCAGCCATTCTGAAAATAAAAGGATTGGGAAAAAGCAAACAACCACGTTCACCACTCACTGCAAAATGGTTTCTCCTCAGCTGTGTCAAAGAATGCTTTAGTCATAGGAGGATCCTTCTCCCTTAGATAATCTTTCCAAGTATCAGCATAATACCCTATAAAACAAGCAGGAGAAGTGTAACGCTCACATGTTATCATGGAAATGTAAGAGTGGCTGGGGAGGTACAGAGAACAATGAGTCACCCCGCCGTCACCACTGAGTTAGTCCCCCTCACACCAGCCTCACGCTGAGGACCAGAGAGCCCCCAGGCAGTGCCTGCCCAGCACCCGCCATACCCTGCCCCATGTCCTGTTCCTAAGAGCTGGGGCGTGAAGAAAGGACCCCTCTTTCTATTGACATTACATCACCCAGCCCTGGTTCTCAGTAGCAGAGCTGGGGAACTGGGGCAGACTAAAAATAGCACTGATATTTTTCAGGAATACATTCATTTTACAGTTAAAACAGATTCAGGTTTATACCTAGAATAGCATCACTCATGCAAACCAATGTGCTTTCTTGAACTACATTCGGGCCCCTGCTTTGTGGAACTATAAACGGGCCTCTAAATTGCACAGAACCTGGGTTTGCCATGTGACTGTGTCACTAAGCAGATAAATGTCCTCCTTCATGTTTGGGCATGCAGAAAAGGGTGGAGCCCCCCTCTCTCTCCTCTGTCCCCACTCCTAGCAAATGGCCTCTGCCTTCTGACTTAAATGATCTGGGGTGGGACCTAGGTATCAGCAATTTGAAAAAGCTCTCTTGGTGATTGCACTGCATAACTGAGATTGAGAAACCCTTGTCTATAACATGCCCTAATGTTAACTTAGGTTTTTCCTTTGGGAGCAATTAGAAAATTCTCATCACCATCTGGTTCCAAAGTCCTCACCACCTGAACTGTTTCTATTACCCCTGAGCAAACATCCAATCAGCCTCCATGGTATCTATCACGCTGCCCCACCCCCATACAATGCACACAGGAGCCAAAGCGTGGCACAACGGCACTTATAGAAGACACAACTTGTTGGAAGGGATAATTCTGCAAGGCTCGTTTGACAGAAGGGGTCACGGTGACTTTCCCCCCAGCAGAGAGGTAGTGTGCAAGGAGAGGGTGTTCCTGTCTGTATGGGAGCAGGCTATACAAGGTGACTGTGCCCTGGATGGGCTTAGAAACTCTTCTGGAACCTTCTTTTTCATCCTAGAATAGAGTGTCCAGAGAGGTTGCACTACCTTCTGGATGAAATCCTACTCAGACGGCTTTTCTGACACTGGTTAGGAGACCCCAAAGGACTTCATGCAGCAAACTGGCTAGGAAAGGCTGACCAGGTAAATTTTCGAAAAGCACACAATTTTGAGGCTCAGTTCTAGAGACTAAAATGGTGCTAGGGTTCCTTCCAAAGATTCGCTCCCGGCTAGCCAGAGGGGAGACTGCTCATTGGACTCACCCGGAACTGGACAGGGCTCCTGCTGCGGGGCGCCACAGCTGACACACTTGCCGTTCCTATAGTCCCGGTAGGAGTCGCAGGGATATGCAGTAACGGCACAGTTCTCTCTCAGGGAGGAGAGGTACAGGTACACGGACCTCTGGTGGTCACACTTAAAGTACTGAAGTCCTGGGTTGTAAAAGGAATGGTTAAAGAATGGAGCAGAAGCCCTGGCTGGGCAGCTCAGCTGGTTAAAGTGTCATCCTGATATGCCAAGGTTGCAGGTTTGATCCCTGGTCAGGGCACATATGAGAATCAACCAATGAATGCATAAATAAAGTGAAAAAACAAATCAATGTCTCCCTCTCTCTCTCTCTTTCTCTCCCCTCTTCTATCTCTCTCTCTCAAATCAAAAAATAAAAACAAAATAAATGAATAGAGCAGCTGTAACATTTAATAATAGTACATCACATATGATATGCACACACACACACACACAATTTATCATGTCTCCTATATACCAGGCACTGTACTAATAGCTTCGACATATTCTATTCCATTTAATCCTTATAAAAACCCATAGATCAGGAATCAGAGTGGAGAGTGACAGGAGGGAAAAAGAAGGTAGGCATGACTGTCCCCGTTTGACCTAGCAGGATATTGAGACTCAGAGAGATTAAATGACTTGCCAAGGTTACACAGCTATTATGTGGTAGAACCCTTCCTTTGTCAAGTGAAACAGAGGAGAAAAATTCAATGGTAGTCAGAGATTCCCCAGAGGTTTTCAGCAGAAGTCCAGAACATTTAAATGAAGACATCAAAAAAAGAAGCCATGGTGGGGGAGGGGACGTTGGTTGAGGAAGATCCCCAAGGAGGGCAAGCAGAGGAGATAGCTTTGAGAAAGGATGGTGGGAGACGCCATCCTGGGTCCGGATGAGGTTACTCAGACAAGGTTCCAAAGATGAGTAATCAGTGGAGGTAAGGATCTGAATAGGAAACAGTGAGCCCAGTGAACGGAGGAGTCATGTCTGTGAGCGAGTGGTCTGGACAGCTCTGGACGCTGGAATCAGATCAATGTTCCTCTTTCTTCAAAGTTTCCACTTAGGCCCACTTAGGAAGCTAATATTTATTTACTGTTTCTGGGTCTTCCACTTGCAAAAACAATGAATAACAATACAGAGGATGTCCTTTATAAGCAGAGCATATTATCTTTGTCTACTCATGGATGTGGGACAGGATTGCTTACCATTTATGGTACCATACAGTTGGCCCTATTATGCCATTTCATTCAAGTCATTTTCAAACAGCACATCCTTCCTGTGAGGCCATATAAGCTACCATTTTGTAACAAGATCATCTTTTTCTAGACCATTTAACTTTCTCTAGCAATGGTGAAATATAAATTTAGAGCACTTAGGAATGGGTTTTTAATTTGGTCCCTCACCCCCCTTTTATGTTGTCTTCCAATTACCCATTTTCTTTATCCTCACCTGAGGACATTTCTCCATTGGTTTTAGAGAGGAAGGGAGAGAAGGAGAAACACCAGTGTGAGAGAAAAACACCGATGTGAGAGCGAAACACCAATCAGTTCCTCCCACATATGCCCTGACCGGGGATCAAACCTGCAACACAAGCATGTGCCCTGACTAGGAATCAAACCAGCAACCATTCAGTTTATAGGATGATGCTCCAACCAACTGAGCCACAATGCCCAGGGCCAACCATGCACTTTTGTTTTGTGAGTTCTTTTTCTCATTATAAAGTAATATGTGAGGTCTGTCCAGCCATTGTTAATATAATGAGAACAGTTTGCACACCATCAAGGTAACCTGGAAGCCAAGGAGAGTGTTCATGTGCATGTGTGAACAATGATGACTTCACTGTACTAGTCAGTGGGGGCAGTAGACACCATTGAGTGAGCATGTGTACTGTGTGGGCATTGCATTCAAGATTACTGAGCAGTAGAACAATGATTCTGCATCAAATTTTGCATTAAGCTTGAACATTTCTCCACGGAAACTATTTGGATGATTCTGAAGGCCACCACTATGGACAATGGATGATTAGCAGCTTCGTCACAACAAGGCGTCTGCTCATGCATCACATCTCTTGCAAAGTTTTTTGGAGAAACATCAAATCACCCAGATGACTCAGCCCCCTACAGCCCAGATTTGGCACCCCACAACTTCTGGCTTTTCCCAAAACTAAAATCAACTATGAAAGGGAAGAAATTTCAGACTGTCGGTGAGATTCAGGAAAATACATCAGGGCAGCTGATGGTGACTGGGAGAGCTGTGTGAGATCCCAAGGTGCCTACTTTGAAGGCAACTGAGGCATCATTGTCCTACGTACAATATTTCTTGTATCTTGTATTTTCTTTAATAAATTTTCCTATCTTTTATATTACATGGCTGGACACCTTCTGGACAGACCTCGTATGCTCATTAAGAAAATACAAAATAAAGCCCTGGCTGGCATAGCTCAGTGGATAGAGTGTGGGCTGCGAACCAAAGTGTCGCAGGTTTGATTCCCCTCCAGGGCACATGCCTGGGTTGCAGGCCATAACTCCCAGCAACCGCATATTGATGTTTCTCTCCCTCTCTCTCTATCTCCCTCCCTTCTGTCTCTGAAAATAAATGAATAAAATCTTTAAAAAAATGATCTTTATTTAAAGTAAAGCATCAACAAAATGATATTTAAAAAAAAAGAAAATACAAAATAAAGATTGCTCTATCCAGCAAAGCTTTCATTTAGAATGGAAGGGCAGATAAAGTGCTTCTCAGATAAGGTCAAGTTAAAGGAATTCATCATCACCAAGTCCTTATTTTATGAAATGTTAAAGGGACTTATCTAAGAAAAAGAAGATAAAAAACATGCATAGTAAAATGACAGCAAGCTCACAACTATTAACAACCACACCTAAAACAAAAACAAAAACAAACTAAGCAAACAACTAGAACAAGAACAGAACCACAGAAATGGAGATCACATGGAGGGTTAGCAACAGGGGAGTGGGAGGAGGAGAGAAGGGGAAAAGGTACAGAGAATAAGTAGCATAGATGGTAGGTAGAAAATAGAAAGGGGGAGGGCAAGAATAGTATGGGAAATGCAGAAGCTAAAGAACTTATGACACATGGACATGAACTAAAGGGGGGAATGTGGGTGGGAGAGGGTGTGCAGGGTGGAGGGGAATGAAGGGGAGGAAATGGGACAACTGTAATAGCATAATCAATAAAATATATTTTAAAAAAGAATAGGAGGAAATAACCTAAAAAAAGAAGAAAATACAAAATAATAGAAAATAATGATGCAAAAATCACATAGAGGTCTAATATCCATTGATCACCTTGTAATTGTTTGGAGCATTTATGTTTAGTCTTCTCTTCTGTACTTACACGCATATAAATATGCAGTTAAAAATAAGTGGGGATCATGCTGTACAGTTTGTGTCTTTTTCCTTTCATATCACACTGTAAGAATTTTCATTAATTTCTGAAAATAAGACTTTTAAAAACTATATTCCTTTATGTGGGTGTACCATATTCATTTAATAATTTTCTTATGTTGGACATTTAGATTACTTCTAAAAATCTAACTACAGGGTCTGGCACAAATAACACCCCATTTTTATTACAAAATCTTTTATTACAAAATCATAAGCACGTAATTCTGTAACATAACACTATCACACTCAAGCACACCATACAACACTTTAGATGAAATGTTCAATTTGCAGTCCATCTCATGCAAGACATGCGTGTACCCTACCAACCACATTCAAGCAGGCATTACTTTTGCAGGACCCTGTACTGTAAATGACACTATGTTAAATACCTTTGCCCTCTAATTTTTGTCCATATTTCCTATTATTTCTCTAGAAGAAATTTCCAGATATGAAATTTCTAGGTCAAAGACACACCTTTCCAAGAGAGACAAATAATTCATAATAGCTTTTAATTATTTAGTTATGGATATTAAAAGTAGTATATTTGAGCCCTGACCAGGATGGGCATTGTTCTGCAAAGCAAAAGACCACTGGTTCCATTCTCAGTCAGGGTACACGCCTGGGTTGTAGGTTCAGTCCTTGGTCCTGATTGATGTTTCTCTCCTTCTCTTTCTCCCTCCCTTCCCCTCTCTCTAAAAATAAATAAAATCTTTATTTAAAAATATATAAACAACAGTTTTAAATTTATAACATATTTATACCACCTCTACCTTCTCAGGAATATTTTTTTTAATTTCTTCTGGCTAAATTTGCTGCCATTTTGTCTTTCTTTTTTTTTTAAGATTTTATTTATTTATTTTTTTTAGAGAGGGAAGGGAGGGAGATAGAGAAAGAGAGAAACATCATGTCTGGGTCTGCAACCCAGGCATGTACCCTGACTGGGAATCAGAAGGAATGTTTTTTTAAAGATTTTATTTATTTTTAGATAGAGGAATGGAGAGACAAAGAGAAGAAGAGAAATATCAATGTGTGGTTGTCTCTCAAGCGCCCCCCACTGGGGACCTGGCCTGCAACGCAGGTCTGTGTCCTGACTGGGAATTGAACCAGCAACCCTTTGGTTCGCAGGTTGGCACTCAACTAAGCCACACCAGCCAGAGCTCAGGAATACTTTTTATTAAAAACTATCCCACATAGAATATCAAATTTTTTAAATATACCTTTTTAAAGACAAAAATATATAAAGTATTTGCACTTACCTCCCAAGATTGTTTTGGGACAACCAGGTTGATCCACTCCTCCATTTGGGTAGAAGTCTATGTTTCCTAATGGTTCCCTGTAGCCCAGGGCTAAAAGAGAGCACACTGTGTTTTAGACTGCTTTGAACTGTTCACATCTCATCACTCATTTGCCTGCAGGAGTTGGACAGGGGTTGTATTATTATTAATTATTATTATTCTATTTATTTCAGTTTAAATATTTTTCCCAAAGTTACCCAGCTAGTTAGAGAGTATCATTGCTGTACACACATACGCACACAATAACTGGGAGACTATGAAGACAGTGATAGAGCTTATTTCTGATGTTTCTGAAGACCTAAGAGAGTTTGGTCACTCATTCACTGCAAGGCTGATAAAAGGATAGTTTTCTTCATAACATTTCTCTGGAGCCCTCTATTTTCTGGGTGCTTCTTAAGCCTCTACTTGAATTTGTGTAAATATTTAATGAATAAGAAACAGGGAAGAATAAATTTTTACTTAGTAGAAAAAAATTTTAAATTTTGGGATCTAGTATGGTAAAGAGATTGGAAAATCTTCTAGAAAACAGCGACCTAAAAAACTATAGATAGATTTAATAATTGCCTATTCTCTTTACCCTTGCAGCCCCCAAATAATCAGTAAAATGCTTGATTAAAAGGATTATTTATATATGTACAATTGGGGACCCCCCAAAAAAAACAGAATTAGCTTCTGGAAGGCAGACACCTTGTAGTACAGGCTTCCCCGGCTAGGCGGGTGTTCTAGGAACCCATCTGTAACAGTGTGCCAGCTGGCATTGTTGGGAGAGGCTGCATTCGGCTTTGGTGAACTTTTCTAAAGACCCTTTCAAATTGTTTGCCCATGTCATGATGGGTGATTTACAAGCACACCTACCTGCCCATACCTCGATGAGTATTCAGCAGTATTTGACCAAAAAATGGCATGATCCCCCATGTCCCACCCTCCCTATTCACCTGATCTCACCTGAGTGCCTATGTTTTGTTTCCTCACATGAAAAAAGTTCTCAAAGAGAAATGTTTGTTGACATGGAGGAAGTAAAACAAACAAACAAACAAAAAGGCAGAAGCACTAAAAGGCATCAAAATCGACAAGTTCAAAAGCTTTTGGAAAAAAATGTCTTCTTAGGTGTATTGCATCAAGTTGAGAGTACTTTGAAGGTGACTGAAGTTTAGAAACTTCTGGCCAAGATGGAGGCTTTGCTTCCTCACACAAACAAAAGAAGGGCAACGACCAGTTTAAAAACCAAAACCAACCAGAACTGCCAGAAAATTGAACTGTATGGAAGTCCAACAACCAAGGAGTTAAAGAAGAAACATTAATCCAGACCGGTAGGAGGGGTGGAGATGGGCAGCTGGGGCACAGAAGATGTGTGGCGCGGCTACGGCTGGCAGACTGGGTGAGTGAGGCAGCAGCTGGTAGAGCGGGCGGTCCCACAATTGCGTTCAGATAAACAGGAAAAAACAACTGAGGAGCGAGACAGACCACACAACCCAGGGTCCCAGTGTGGGGAAATAAAGCCTCAAACCACTGACTGAAAAAACCTGTGGGTGTTGTGAAAGCAGGAGAAACTCCCAGCCTCACAAGAAAGTTCACTGGAGAGACCCACAGGGTCCTAGAACATACACCCAGGAATCAGCACCAGAAGGGCCCAATTCGCTTGTGGGTAGTGGGGGAAGCAACTGAAAGCAGGGTGAGAGCCAAGCAAGTGGCATTGCTCCTTTTCTGACCCCTCCCCCACATACATCACCACAATGTAGAGACGTGGGTTGCCCCACTTGGAGAATACCTAAGGCTCCACTGCTTACTACATAATAGGTGTACCAAGACAAAGAATATAGCCCAAATAAAAGAATAGATCAAAACTCCAGAAAAAGAACTAAGTGACAAGGAGATAGACAACCTATCAAATGCAGAGTTCAAAACACTGGTAATCAGGATGCTCACAGAAATGATTGAGTATGTCTGCAAAATAAAGGAAGAAATGAAATAACAGGAAGAAGTAAAAGAACAAAGTGAAATAAAAAAATATATATATGGGGAACCAACAGTGAAGGGAAGGAAACGGGGACTCAAATCAATAATTTGGAGCAGAAGGATGAAATAAACATTTGACCAGAACACAATGAAGAAACAAGAAATCAAAAAAAATAAGGAAACCCTGGCTGGCGTAGCTCAGTGGATTGAGCGCGGGCTGCAAACCAAAGCATCGCAGGTTCGATTCCCAGTCAGGGCACATGCCTGGGTTGCAGGCCATGACCCCCCTGCAACTGCACATGGATGTTTCTCTCTCTCTCTCTCTCTTTCTCCCCCTCCCTTCCCTCTCTGAAAATAAATAAATAAATAAAAATAAAATCTTTAAAAAAAAATAAGGAAAGACTTAGGAATCTCTGAGACAACTTAAAACATTTCAACATATGAATCATAGGGTTACCAGAAAGAGAAGAGAAACAGCAAGATTGAAAACTTATTTGAACAAATAATGAAGGAAAATTTCCCCAATCTGGTGAAGGAAATAGACTTCCAGGAAGTCTAGGAAGCACAGAGAGTCTCACAGAAGTTGGACCCTGGGAAGTACACAAGACACATCATAATTAAGTTACCCAAGATTAAAGATAAAGACAGAATCTTAAAAGCAGCAAGAGAAAAGGAGACAGTTACCTACAAAGGCGTTCCCATGAGACTACCAGCTGATTTCTCAAAAAACACCTTACAGACAAGAAAGAAGTATCTCCAGGACTGGAAAGAAGTATTCAAAATCATGAAAGGCAAGGATCTATATCCAAAATTACTCTATCCAGCAAAGCTATCTTGTAGAATGGAAAGCCAGATAAAGTGCTTCTCAGATAAGGTCAAGTTAAAGGAGTTCATCATCACTAAGCCCTTATTACATGAAATGTTAGAGGGACTTATCTAAAAAAAGAAGATCAAAACTATGAACAGTAAAATGACAATAAACTCACAACTATCAATAACTAAACATAAGAAACAAAAACAAACTAAGCAAATAACTAGAACATGAATGGAATCACAGAAATGGAGGTCACATAGAGGAAGGTTAGTGGGGAGGGGGAAGGAGAAGAATGTGGGAAAAGGTACAGGGAATAAGAAGCATATATGGTAGGTACAGGATAGACAGAGGGAGGTTAAAATCAGAGGGAGGTTAAATAGGAAATGGAGAAGCCAAGAACTTATATGTATGACTCATGGACATGAACTAAGGTCAGGGAAATGCTAGAGGAAGGGGTACAAGGTGGAGGGGGATAAAGAGGAGAAAAAAGGGGACAATTATAATAGCATAATCAATAAAATATATTTTAAAAACATAAAAAAAGGTGACTGAAGTTTAAATATGTAAGAGTAAATACACAATTTTTTATAAATTTTGGGGGTCCCCCCTTGTACACACAGTTTATACATTATTGGAATAATAATAGTTATTATATATTGAGAACCTATACATGTTTGTGAGCATGATGCTAGGTGTTTTACACACCTTCTAACTTCACAACGTCTGCAAAGCAGCCATTGGTAAATTGAGATGAAGTAACTGAGAAAATACTGAGGCTCAGGGGACTTTAGGAACAAACACAACCCACTAGAAAGAACAAAATCAGGGACTTGAGTCCATCTCTGCGTACTACAAAGTTTATATATCAGTACTTTGTATCCTGGCTGGTATGGCTCTGTGGGTTGAGCACCAGCCTGTGAATGGAAAGGTTGCTGGTTTGGCCCAGCTGGGGGCGTGAGAGAGGCAACTGATCAATGTTTCACTTCCTTTCTTTCTCCCTCCCTTCCCCCCACTCTAAAAAGATAAATAAGACCTTAAAAAAAAGTTTATAAACTTTCCTTCAAAGTTTACTTCTTTCCAAGAATAAAAAATAAACTGCTCTATTCCATCAAGCATTAGAATGTCAGTGAGGTACTGCACTTAAATAAGATAAGACTTTGCAACAACACATTAAGAATTCAGCTGTTTCTCAGGGACATTTCTCTAAGGCAAACAATCGCTGAATACCACACAAGAGTACCCAGGACAAGTGGTCAAGGGTTTGTTTTTTTCTTTTTAGGTGGTTGTATCACAAAAAGGGTATACGATTAAATGATCACGCTGCTCCGTCCCCTCAGCCCTCCCCAGGTTCCCACGCCAGCTCTTCTCCCAGACATCTGGATATAAAGACCTATCCTTAACACCACCCCAAACCCCATGACAGGTACCCAACTCCAGGTAGGAAATCAGCACCAACAGAGACAGAAAGGGCCAGGAAGATCCACAAAGAGGTGGCAGTTCAGAATCAATCACTCTGTGTAGAGACATACACCACTTGGCCATGTATTTCTGCTTTAGGAAAGAATGAGAAAGAACCAATAAAAACAGAAAATCGTGCTTCAGGATCCAGTTGTACATATGGAAACCCCTGTCCACAAGGTGTGCAAACCAGCCTGTGCTCAACTGGTCAGGATGGTCACTATGAAAACAAGAAGAGACCATGGGACAAGCACCGCCACTCCAGCAAGAGATCCTGCGTGCCTGTCAACCAGCTTCCCATCAAAATCTCCGTGGATTTGGAACCCTGCCCCAAAAGGAGGAATCTGGAGGAACCTGATCTTCCCCTGCATGACAGTCCCCCGCCCCGGTGCAGGAGAGGATTCCGTGGGAGTCTGGGAGGTCACTGACACACAAGGACAGGAATGTTACCGTCAATGTCGGAATGGATGACGTCAACGAACTGTGCGTCACTGGGATCTAATCTGTCCTCAGGCGGTCTCCCGTTGAATAAAGGGCCAGCGGGGTCCAGACCTGGAAGGAAAACAGAGTGGGTCTGGCAGCCCCTCGCCATGAGTCACCTGTGGCTGAGCTTTTGATCCCCACCCCCTTGAGGATGGCTCACAGGCTGCAGGGCACCCTCAGGTAGGCAGGCACTCACATTCCCATCCTGCTCCGTCAGGCTGCTTTGCACAGCCCTGTAGCCTTTTCCCACAATAGAGATGGTTCCCTGGCAGTGTCCCCTGAGAACAGCGTCCCAACTCCGTCAGGAGGCATATCTGTGCTCAGCTCAACAGCAGAGAGTACACAGACATGTGGGGAGCAGGGGTGTGGGGATAAACTGGTTCCTCAGGAAAAAGCATCTAAGGGTGCATGTAAAAAACAGATGCTATACTTATCTTTATCCTATTTTAACAGTTTCCATTTTTATTCATATATACTAGCTCATAAGCTCCATATCACAAGCCTGAGGGAAGCAGGGTAGCTATTCTCATTCCCATTTTACAGATGAATGAACTGAGGTGCAGAGAGATCATGTGTCTTAACCCGAGCCACAGACTCACACTGCAATCACCACTGAGTGTGGTAAGCTCAGCAGTGAAGAGTGAAACTCTCCGGTCAGACCAGGTACTGAAAAGGAAAATAAAGTGGGTGTCAATTCCTATGGAGTTGACCCAGCCCATAAATGCCTGGACTTATTTCTTGCTCTTGGTCAATGCTAGCTGGGCATTCCTCACCAACGTTGTGAAACAGCTGTAAAAACAAGACGGCAGCTCCCATGATGCTGTAACCACAAAATAAAAACTTTAACTAAAAACCAAAAACAAAACAGGGGAGGTTCAAATAGGCCCTGCTCACTAGAAACCTAAGGGAAGATTTCAAGGGACACATTGAAGATTTTATCTATGAATTTCATTTTCAATAACACCTCCCCACTTCCTGGTGTTATGTACAAAACCCAAGAAAGCATCTTTGCCTCAGCTTTCCTGGTTCTAGCCTCAATCTCTCATTTCTCTTCTCCCAACACTGTTGCTTCCCCCATATATCTATATCTGCTTGTCTATATCTGCTTCATTTCCTTATCTCCTTCCTCCTCCCACACGGGAAGCCTTTCTCATTCCCCTGTCTGCTCCTGACTGAAACTGATGCTGGAGGAGGTGGATAAACACCCAGGCAACAGAATTCACAAGATATTTTCAACAACAGCAATGACAACAAAGAGCAACTCATAACTTTGGAAAGAGTTTTTGCTGGAGAAGCCTCCTCTGTACATGAGACAGCAACACTTCTGGTGTAAGAAAATGGACAGAGAAACAGCGAGAGCCCAGTTCATAGCAGCCCCTAGATCCATGGCAGCAAACTGGCTTGCTGTATAAAGTCCAAACCAGGGCAATTTTCAGAGTAATAAAGGTGCTATTAATAATTATGCCAGGACCAAGGCGCAAATGAGAACTATTAAGTACTCTTGGACATAATGATCTCCTTAGGGATAAGCCATAGCAAATGATTAGCTTATAATATCAGTCAGAAATCACAGTTAAGCTGCCCTAAAAAGTTGTATCAAATGGGTGTGATATGGAGCCCCAAACCTAACACCAGCCAGCTGTGTGACCTTAGGCAGGTTACTATATTTCTCTGAACCTCAGTTTCCTTATCTGCAAAATGGAGGTAGAATTAATAGCTACTTCAGAGGACTTAATAAAGGACTCCTAGATCTGAATCCAGAACATTTTGAGATTATTATAGATAATCTCAAAAAAAAGTGGAGCTTTTCTTGTTGCTCTAAGATCACCAGAAAGGTGTCTAGTGATCCCTGTCTTCTGCTGCAGCATTAACTGGTTTGAGAATTTGATGACATCATACATGTTACATGCAGTTTCTGGAGCCTCTTCCTCTCATCCCCAGGGTCACAAGGAACTCTCTAAGGCAATGCTGTCCAAGGAAAATATAATGGGAACCACATATATAATTTAAAGATTTCAAGCAGCCATTTAAAAAAAAGGAAAAATCAAACAAGGAAAATTAATTTTAATAATGCATTCTATTTAACCCAATATATCTAAAATACTACATAATCAATATTAAAAACTTGAGATTTTAAACATTTTTTGTATTTAGTCTTCAATATCCAGTGTGTATTTTGCACTTACAGCACCTCCCAATTTCCCTTAGCAACATTTCAAGACATCAACGGCCACGTGTGGCTGGCAACTGCTATATGGGGCAGCCCAGCTCTATGGTCGCTTTTCAAGATATAATGTTCAGGCCACCTGCATCTTTTGATTAAAAGAATACACTCCTATCCCAGCCAGGGAGTTCAGTTGGCTGGAGTTTCATCCCAATAAACCGAAGTTTTGGGTTTGATCCCCGGTCAGGGCACATACAAGAAGCAACCAATGAATGCATAAATAAGTGGAACAATAAATCAACGTTTGAAAAAATGAAAACAAAAAAGTATACACTTCTGGACCCCAACCCCAGAGATTCTGATTCAGCAAGCTGGCGTTGTAACAGCACCCCAAGGTAATTTTCACACACATCAAAGTTGAGAATTAAATTTAATGTATTATCAAGTGGTGTAGGGACTTGAGATAGTTTAAAATCTGTTCATGTTCTGCCATCTGTTCAAGAAGTTAATGAGAAGTAAATCCAGGAGCTGTGCCTGGACAGGAAAAGGAGAAAGAAGAGCAGAAGAAAGAAAGAGACCTGGGAGAGATGAAGCAGCCATTCAAGCCTAGATAATTAACAAGCAGAACCATCCAATACTTGGGAGGCGGGAGTGAATTGTGTCCTTTGGGGAACAGGCCAAATTCCCACCTCATAATCCAGTGAGCCCACTCTGGCAAGGCAGTGGGAGGAGAGTAGAAAAAAATAAATGCTTGACCCCTGAAACTGCTCTCAGGGACAGCTTAAACAGTGGGGAATTGTAATGGTGGGAAATTGTGACCCACCCACTATTCTTTTGACATTGTTTCTGTAAGTGCTGGCTCTGACTAAGATGAAGCTTGTAGATGAGCAGCATGTTTATATAAGAATCCTAGGAATCAGTTTCAAAAGATACAGACTCTGACCTTCAGGCGTCTCAGCTCTGGGAGATTTGCTGACCTTCATCCATGGAGCCAGGATGACATGAAGCCGGAATGACATAGGTCAGGTTGATCAAACCAGGAATTCTGCACACCAGACCGGCCCTTGCCTCATCGGAGTGGACTATGTTCATCCGTACTGAGAGAACTTTCAACCCCCTTCCTTAATCTCTTTGTCCTGTCCCTCTCCCCCTTCTTACAAAAACCTCTGCCTCCGCTGAGATGGAGAGACGGGCTTTGAGACAGGAGTCCACCGTCCTCCAAATGGGCAGCATCTGCAAATAAATCACTTTCTTTTCAGCACGGGCCTCTCGAGTATTGGTTTTCATAGCAGCAGGCAGCCGGACCTGCGTTAGGTTACAAACTGAGATTGAACTTGGGGCTCAGAGATGATGAGGAATCAGGAGAACTTGGGGGAGTCAGTGGAGAAAGAAAGTTGAGCTGTGGACCAATGGCTGAATCCAGCTCACAGATGGAGGCCACGTGAGCCCAGGAGTAGGAGGAAGGCTGGCTGGGGAAATTTCCATAGTCAGAGGCCAGGTTACATTGGATTCACATTCAAAGTAGTTGTGGAACCGGTTTGTTGGGAGGCTGAAGAATGAAACAGGTGGGGTGGGGGGAGTGTTAAGTAGAACAAGGAGGTGGTCTGGAACTAGCACTGGAGAGCAGATTTGCTCATCTCTCCCCAAACTTTGTGGTCAGTGATATCAGGTTGCTAGCTTGACAGCTTCAGCCATGGTAGGGGTATGTATACACCATGGAAATCAGCAAACACTGCAAATCAGGGCTTTTGCTTCCTTCCTTCTTTTTAAGGGACACAAGCAAATCGAAGCTATCTGTCCTTTGTACACATAAGGGAAAAGGAAATTTTTTTTAAAGTAAGAACATGACGCTTTCTAAAACATAACACTAATTTTAAAAACTGTAAAGAACTTTCACTAGGAAAGCAGGTAAATAAGAATATGAGAACAGGCTTGGCCTTTGGGATGAAATCGAGAACCAAAACAGCCAGGAAGAAGAATGTGACCTCAAGTACCAACAAATGGTGTGTGTGTGAGAGAGAGAGACAGACAGACAGACAGACAGACAGAGGGAGAAAATGAGAATGACTGGCCCCGGGCTCTCTGTCCAGTGAAGCAGGATATTCAGACCAGTAGCTCTAAAAGCTTGTCACCCAAATGTAGCTAGTTTGCATTGTTTACCTCTTCCCTCCTTCCTTCTTCTACCTTCCAGATTCCCTAGAATTAAAATAGTTGTTTCCACGTGAGGATGGATTCTGGGAAAGACATGAATGGAAGAAGACTTAAGTCTCTGAAAGAGAAAGCCTCTCTGAGTCCTTCATTTGCAGCAAAGGAAAGTTACTGGAGCTTTAGGCAAGAGAACCCATCACCAGTTTGTTTGGGATTTGACCTGCTGTGTTGCTGAGTGTTTTTATTCGGTTTTAGCTTGAAAGCCGATATTCAGAGAGTAAGCCCCAGCCATCAAAATTCTCATCTCAATTTCCTATGATGAAACTCCAGCTGTGCCTGGGGACAGAAATTTATTAGGTATGTAGTTCAAGCTATTCTGAATAAAATAAAAGGAAGAAAGATATCTGCTTGAGGCACAGAGATCAAATCCCCATGGACCATAAGAGAAATAGTCACCAGCAATGTTTTCTATGGCATACACAATTTACAAAGTGCTTTGCATGTATCTTATGAAATAATAACCTGAGGTCAACATTAGTATGGTGTTCCTTTTGCACAAGAGGATACACGCTCAGAGACGTTACATAACCAGAAGAGCTGGCTTCCAACCCAAGGACTTGCATTGCCCACATCGTGCTCCCCCGGGGAACAGCCTGCCCAGGCCGACCATCCCCTGCCCATTCCCAGGAAGTCTTACCTGTAATTCTCCCCAGCTGCCCACTGTACTCCTTTCCAACAAACCCGGATATATGGGCTCCTAGACTTACTCCAATCATGTAAATGTCGTCAAGAGAAGCTCCTTCTGCCTGGAATTTCAAGAAGTCCATCATTATAAATTGTGGGGGTCAAGGAGCTGACAACATTTGGAGAAATGTCCTATCTGTTGATTTGGGGGAACTGTTTCTAACCACCTCATATCCATTATTTCACGTAAATGTCACAATACCCCTGGCAAAGTTAATGCCATTCTTTTGATTATACAGATGAGGAAACTGAGGCCCAGAGTTGAGGTGATCTGCCCAAGGTTAGGCCATGGGGAGAGGTCAGAGTAGGGTTCATACTAGTCTGCCCACCTCCGAACTTATGCTTTAACCTCTAGGCCACAGTGTCTCCATTTCATGCCTCTTCTAGAAATCAAGCCAAGACATCTTTAAAACCTTCTCAATTGGAAAGAAGGGCAACAATACATTTTGATGAACTTTTTTTTAATCTTCATGCTAGCTCAATTATATAAATTCACGAGGGAGAGTGAAGGAAAGGAGGAAAGTAAGTAGGGTAGGAATGGATCACATTGACCACAACCTGCTGAAATAGCCTGTCATGAGTCATTTTAATATTTACTTTTCCAGCCCTAGCTGGTGTGGTTCGGTGGATTGAGTGCTGGCCTGCAGACCAAAAGCGTCGCTGGTTCTATTCCCAGTCAGGGCACATGCCTGGGTTGTGGACCAGTTCCCCAGTTGGGGGAGTGTGAGTGGCAAGGGATCATCTCTTTGTTGATCCCTTTGGGACTTTGTTGTTTCTCCTCCTCTCTTTCTCCCTCCCTTCCCCTCTCCCTAAAAATAAATACATAGAGTCTTTTAAAAATTTTACTTTTCCAGAGCCATGGCTTAGGTGGGAAGCTCTTGTAAAACTTAGGCCACTGCTGCCACAGTGACTCTCTGTGAAATGGTCGTGGTACCAAGTCACTCTTTTTAAAAAAATACAAGTGGCAATTCATGAGATCACTAAGGAAAATTTAAGATGTATTTAATTTTTGTAAGTCTTCTAAAGACATAAATCATATATACACAAAAATCGCTCATCAGACCATGTGTATCAGTTTTGGTTTTGGACAACATGGTCACTAAACTTGCCATTTCGAGGAAAAGGAACAGCTATAGAAGTTAAGGAAGCTCCAGTTACTGAAGCCAGGAAACCCATAGACAGAACTTCTCCTACTCATAGGGAGAAGTTCTGTGAGTTAGAAAAATATGCCCCTTCCTCAGGACACCTCACCACCATTTGCTGGAAAATTGTCTTAGTAAACATGTAAATCTACAATGTCTACGACAGTGATGCCCCCTTAGATGGGTGCCTGGTGCAGGAAACAACCTGCATGACCACGCGCATGGGTGGTTCCTCCAGCATTTCCCTCCACCTTCCCTGGGGCTTACTTGGATCTGCAAAATAGTCCCCCAGTTCACTGCAGGTATGTCTTGGCTTAACTCTTCAGATAGTGGACCAGTTTCAATTTAGCCCTGAATCATCTAAGAGAATTCTCCCTTACCAACATTTGGTCGATAAATTCCTTCAAGGCTGCTGCTACTTTCTTGGTCCTACTAGAAGCATAGTTGTATATTACAGTTGTAGCTCCTCGATTCCAATCAACAACGACCACGTTCATGTCTTCTACAGAGAGCAAACCCTCTACTAAGTCCCCTATCCAAACTGGAGGGGAGCCTGTGGGCCTGAATCCATGGACAATGAAGGTGGTTTTCCTGGTTACGTTCAAGTTCCCCAAAAATGTGGAGTTGATAATTTGTGCGCAGGTCGAGTTTCTCCTTGTGTAGAGCATCAATTTCACATTTAGTCCCGTACCGACCACTGCACTGTGGAAGCTCAGTTTGGTAAATGAAGGACATGTTTCTCCTGTATCTGAAAACAGAAATTATATGGCATCGTGACAGTTCTTTCCTGAGCTGGGCATCAAGTCCTATACTCCCTGGAGTTCTGTGTGCCTTACTTACAGCATCTAGTGAGGGGCAAGACCTAGTTGCATGAAGTTACAAAGTCATACCTGATTCAGAGTTCATACACAGTGACTTTTTCACCAGGAAAACCATATTTCCAAATTCTACCTTTTTCAAGGTCTAACCCCAAAAGTCACCTCAGTGTAGCCTTCTCCCAGCTTTAAGAACTGTCCCTCATCCCAAAACTCCCCAAACCTCTTTATGGGCCTCATTGACAGCACAATGAAAATACTTTCAGGGGTGTACTATGGGTATTTAAGTACATGTATGTCTATCCTGCTCGACCAGTCTCCTTGGAATGGTGTCTTATAATCTTCTGTACCCCTCGCTGATCCCAGCACACAGTAGAGGACCCAGTAACTGAAACTTTGTGGTCCAAACGCCTCTCTCCTTGTCCAGAGCACCTGCCTAAGATGAGAATGGAGAATGTGATGCGCCTGCCATGAGCTGTCTAGTTGCATCTGAAACTGTTGACCACAATGGCGTTTTGGGGCCCTCTCCTTCTTTGCTACTCAAAGCACCACCTTCAAACATTCCCCTGCTAAATAGGCACTAAGGATGGTCTTAGAAGTTAGGGATGAGGAGGGGACAGCACCGATGAGCCTGGAGCATCTTGTCACCACAGAAAGTAGGGAATATTTAAAAACATGTCCCAAGGATACAGGAGTCAGCTTGAAGGGTTTTCCACTCTCCGGATCTGGGATAATTTAATAACTAAGGACATTAATGAAGTATAGGCCTCTGGAAAAAATGAGGACTCCGTGATCCCAAATAAATAAATAAATACATAGACAAGAGGATTTCCGGGACAGTGCTGACTGCCAAGTGGTAAATGTGGAGTGAAAGCTGGAGTTGCTACTAATCATTACTCTTTCCTTCTCTAAAAATCAATAAATAAAAGTTTTAAAAGTATCATTGAAATATTGCTTTAAAATATCATGAGAAATAAAACATCATTTTATTGCATTAAAATCATAAATATACATAATTTATCTTGCTGTCCCTTCCCTCTTAAATTGCATACCCTGTGAGTGCCTCACTTGCCTCACACTGACCCCAGGCCTCCTGCCAGGGCTGTTGTGAGAATGAGAGGTAATGCCTGTGAATTATCTAAACCGTTACCTAGAACACAATAAATGCTAAAAAATTAGTAATTGGTCCTGGTTGGTGTGGCTCAGTGGACTGAGCACCAGCCTGGGAACCAAAAGGTCACTGGTTCAATTCCCAGTAGGGGCACATGTCTGGGTTGAGGGCCAGGCTCCCAGTTGGGGGCATGCAAGAGGAAACTGATCGATGTGTCTCTTGCACATCAACATTTCTCTCCCTCTCTCCCTCCCTTCTCCTCTCTCTAAAAATAAAATCTTAAAAAAAAAAGATTGGTTAGGCAAGAATCTTCAATGGATACTGAACCAAAATGGGGTGAGTTCTAAGGAGGAGCATATGTGTACGGGCTTCAACAGTCTCCCACAGATTGCTTATCAGTGATCAGGGAAAAGCAGTAATATACGGTAGAGAAACTGAACAACAGCTTGACTAGGTTATCCAAACGAGCACCACCAGTGAGGGGCAGATGGTCAGCATGCGCCTCTAGCCATAGCGCACCGAGAAGGACACAGCCTCACCTGTGCAGTGTTTCAGCAGGGGGTGCATGACCTGAATCTAACCACGAGGGGAAAGCCAGACAAACACAAAATAAGGAATAATCTATTTCTTAAAAAGGTCAATGTCATGGATGACGAACAAAGGCTGGGGTAATGTTCTAGATTAAAGGAGACTAAAGAGACAGAATAAATAAATGCAATATCTGGCCTTAGTCTGCATCCTGTAATGGAAGAAGAAATACTATAAAAGAAATTATTGGGTCATTGACAAAATTGGGATATGGACACTAAATTAGATAGAAGTTTGGTATAATGTTAAATAAACTGAGGTTGAAAATCATATACGCTTAGGTAAGAGAAAAATTCTAATTCTTAGGAAATACAACTGAAGTATTTATAAGTAAATGTCCAACTTAGTCTCAAATAGTTCAGAAAAATACATTAGGATGGAGAGATAAATGATAAAGCATATGTAGTAAAATATTAACAATAGGTGAATCTGCACAAAGCATTATTGGTGTTCTGTGTATTTACTCTTGTAGCTTTTCTGCAAGTTTAAAATTATTTCCAAATAAAAAGCTTAAATTAAAGGGGACAGCACCATATCAGCGACACATGTATTCACATAAATCGAGAGGGAGACTCTGACTTCTGATATCAGAAAACCAAAGTAGATAGGACTGCTAAAGACATCTGGTTGAAAAGGAATAAGGAGTTAGAAGTAAACTAAGGATCACATTGCAAGACAAAAGAAGGGCTTTTCGTGGAAGGAAGGGCTGAGGAGTGCATAGGTAATGAGACAGAGTGTTACTTTTGCAACGTTATATAAGGCACTGGTCAAGAACCACAATCAAATAACAGTTAAAAATAAACCTCTGCTCAACATTGGTAATAACACAGCAATATAATGATTGGGAAGGCTGTATTGTATTTTTAATTGTAAGAATTATTTTAAACTGTGTTGTGACCTACTTTCCCACACGCTGCTTGGCTGAGAGAAAACAGCCAAGTAGGAGGTGAAGTGGAGCAACAAACAATCCCTGGCTGCAAGCTGGAGATGGTGCTTCAGGACATTCGGGAACGTGGACAAAGGCCTGTGATGGCCGTTCTCGGGGGCAGGGGACAGGAGGGGAAGACTGTTCACTTGCAACTGGCCAACAGAAGAACAGAAGACAAGAGTGCCTTGGGAAACATCTGTTCTGACTTCCACCAACAGAAATTTAGAAACCATTTGCCTTGGGCCCCTATTCTCAGTGGAGCTACACTTGCACAGAAATTGCTGCTGCCTGATTTTGAGCCTCAGAGTGGCCCTTCTCCTGGGGTCTATACCTTTTCTTAACTGCCTGGATCCACTCATGCATGCTTTTATTTGAAACTTCTTGCAAAGGCTCCGGTGCTCAGGGGTCAGTGAAGTTCTAAAATAGAATGAGCTAAAACTCAAACAGAAGATTAAAAAATTAAGGAAGCTTGGAAATTCCTGACCCTGGAAAACAGTGAGCCCCAAACTCACACATTCCTCCTTTTACTCTACACTGTCAAGTAGCATGTGCAGTGAGACATGCTCACAATATATTATCTTTATCCCCCTCAAGCTTTATTAATATGTAATTGACAAATAACGTTGTGTAAGTTTAAGGTATAGTGTGATGATTTGATATATATATTTATATATATATCATATATATATACATAACAGTGAAATAAGTATCACATTAAGGCTTTTTGTTAACACATCCTTCACCTCACATATTTAGCTTTGTGTGTGTGTGTGTATGTGTGGTGATAAGAGTTAAGATCTACTCTCTCAGCAAAGTTCAAGTATACAATACAGTATTGTTAACTACAGACACTGTTCTGGGCATTAGATGTCAGAACTTATCCATCCATGTGAATATGTTCTCCACCTGCTGGCCCTTTTGTTCTCTTCCTACAGATTGCATGCTCCTGGAGAGCTGGACTGAAACTTGTGGTGCTTGTAGAGCAAGACCTACAGTAAATAATTGACTGTTTAGTCACTTTATTGAACAGGAGGTGTTGCAGGGAAGGTAGGGCTAAGCCTCTCAGTCTTTGCCATCAGCAGACCTGGGTTTTGTTCCAGGTTGTGGGGCTGACTCACCAGAGCCTGGGAGAATTATGTTATCTTTCACTTACTGCCTACCTGCGGAGAGAGATGCCGTGGAGATAATTATGAATGGGTTCTTGGGGGGGGAGGGGCGGGAATTCCGTTTCAGAGAAGAGAGCTGTTTATTATGTCTGTTTATTTTGAGGCAAATGAGTAATATTGAGCCAGTGTGTCTAAAGGCACATATCTGAGTCCTTGGAAGACTCAGAGAAGACTCGTGAAGTTTGGGCCTGAGCTAGTCACCAGCAGCCACTGCCAACTTTCACGTCTATGGAACGGCTCAACCAAGCTCCTTGACTTGCTGAGTCTTTATTAGAAGTTCTTAAAAAGACAAAGTTAGTGAAAGGTAGAGAGCAGTACAAATCAATTTTTATTTTTCACTTGAAAGAACCACTCGGATTTCATATATTTTTAAGTGTCCTAGTTATTTTTATAATGGCATTGTGCTCTGGAAAAGTCTATTGCAAGTACTGGGTAAAAAAAAGATTTTCCTAGTTCCTCTCTACAGTGCTAAATGTTACAACAGCTTGATATGTATTATCTCCCATTCTCAGAGGACGTGTGCAGTTCATTCAACCAGAGTCAGCTCCATGCTAAGTTCTGTGTCAGGTGGCATTCCCAAGGAACACTCAGGCATTAATGAAATAAAACACACAAATAAGTATAAAACTGCAACCTGTGACATAAGCCATGTAAGAGAGATATGGTGTAAAATGAGAATTTAAATAGGGAGTATGGCCTGGTCTAGGAATCGGGAATGCTGTTCTCTTATCACCCGGAATTAACGCATCTAAATACCAACAATGGGGCATTTCTTCTGCAAAGAATAACGTCACACTGAGGGGCAAATTCAAGTTAGCCAAATTATTACATTTCAGTTTCATAGGTTTTTACTTTTATTACCTACACATAATGTTTCTGGAATTATATCCTTTTTCATTATGTGTTTTATTTGCCTTGAATTCCACCCAATGATAGTAAAGCCATAACTTGGCTTATCCTTTTTGTTAGCATTTGCCCATCATGTTTTTACCCTTTTAAAACCTTTGAATCCCTTTAGGAGATCTTACATATAGCATCTGGCTAGGTTTTATTTTATGAGCCAATCAGAGAGCCTTTAAAAAAAAACAGGTGAGTTCACATTTATTGGCATAACAGACAAAGCTGGTGTGAAGGCCACAG